TTTACACGTTTGACCAGAGAGGTCAGATCCGCTTACGCCTGTACGAATTCGAGATTCCCTAAATCCACCAAAAGTGTGACCTACGTCACTGGCTTTCCACTTATCTGGCAAACATACAAGGTTCGTGGGAACCGACTGGACTATGCAGTTTCCGGTACGATAAACAGCAATCGAAACGCGGCAGCACGGAAAGGAAATCCATGTAAATTTCGGTTTCCTTTACCCCGAAAATCAACTACGTCCTCTATTATGATTAATCGGATATTACAAACGACACTCGATATATTTACTGCGTTCTTTTTTTTATTAATATTTGGCATGCAGTCAGACAAAATCGTTGCCACCGTAAAGCAATTTTGAAAAACAATGTGTGGCGTCGCCTCCCATGCTCGCCACCAGAGGGGCCCCGCTCTCACAAGCGCTCGACCGACCCCTCCGTTGCTATATATACACTCCTCGAACGACTTCTCAATATCCCAGTCGTCTAAGGCAGGGCCTGCTAGAAAGCCTTACTGATGAGTCCACTGGCAGGCCCGGACGAAACGCGCCCCCTCCTTTCCTTTTCTGCCCTTCTACGGAATTCTCACGAGATCCTCTACCCGCAGCGAAGCAGCGCCACAAATGTTAACTTTGTTAATAATAACAATAAATTTATACGCTTTCTAACCACTCTGTACACCATGTAACGAAACAAATACTTTTATACGTTTGCTAACCTTATCGATTTCAGTAGATCATCATACCACAGACGAGATATACGAGTAGACTTTCCACCTTATAGACCTTCGTGGCCCAATCTGACTGCCACACCGACTTGAAAATTCGGAGATGATTTTAGCGTCCTCTTCACATGGATGGCGGTCAGTTAAGAAACTATTCACTGAATTAGTATTGATAGGCAAACAGCTATAGTGTTGCCTAAGTCATGTGAGTTGACTATGGAAGGGATAAAAATTCATTTCTGAATCTGTTGGCAACGTTGCGAATGACACGAAAATGGTAATGGGATTTCGAGACCCCATCAAAATGGGCCGAAAAAATATATTGGGTGAAAGATCTACTCATATACCTCGTCTTCTCTGACAATACTCTAGAATCTTTGATGAATCAATGAGAATCAAAACTAACCTAGCGAAGAAGCTCTATATTTATGATGACCTATGCAAGGCGGATCGCAGCCAATTTGCTAATATTATTTAGTTTTTAATTAATAATTGCATTATGCAGCTAAAAGTGATACGATTATTAATTAAACGCTAAATAATATTACCCAGGTCTCACCACGTGGAGGTTGCTGCGAATGGAGACCCGCCCTAACCGATTCCCAACCACCCTCCATTAGTAAAAATCTTTTGTGACCAGCGATCGTTGATCGAAAAAGCAATAAACGAAAGTGCAACCAACAAAAGAGTTTTTTGAGAAAGAATTTGCCTCTAAATTCTCATCAACAAAACAGAGAAATAGACCAAAATATTACCTGCCTAATGTAATGATTAATATAGAGAACCAAACTCCTGCCTAACTATAAATCTAAATTCACTTACATCCTACCTATCTAATCATCTAACAAAATACATAGAAAATATATTCTTCCTTGTTGATCCTTCAACGAAGATTTCCTGAAACATACTGTTACATTCTACCTAACTATAAATCTAAATTATTAAAACATAAACTAAGCAAACTGAAACAAAATACATGAAATACATTCTTCTATCTTCTATCTTCTATTTATGTCACGATGATTTCCTGAAACACAAACAAAGCAATATCAAACAAAATTGTAACAATTCTTTATTGTTACTTCTATATGTAAACCTAAAACTTCCATAGGAATATGCTCTGTAACAAAAACTGGTTTAATAGATTAGTAAGAGAACAAACAAAAATTTGACACCTGCAAGAAGTATATGCCCAACACTGAATCTGTAAAACTATAAATACTACAACTACAGGCAAGTGCAGTGAGAAAGTAAAAATAGTACATAATATACGAGGTTACTTTGACTCTAAAATGTATTCGTCGCGAAATATCTTCTTGCACGTCAATCTAATGATATATTTTAATAAGTAAAGAAAGACTTCGGGTATCTTCGATATCGAAGATACCCAAAGTCGTCAACCCAATTATGAAAGTGAATTTAATTATTGAAGAATGTAAAGAACAATCGGAAGCTACTAATTTGACACTCATTCTAAAATTAATATAATTATAAGTATTATAAAAGATATTAAAATCATGACTCTACTTTCGATTGATATTACGATATTTGCCATATTAAAAATTGCGGCGTGCAAAAGCATCGCACGCTTAAATAAAACGCGACGCGACACGTGCTCATAGCGTGTAGTGAGTGTGGGTATCAAATTGATACCCCCCGGCCTTGATTATCAGAAAAGCAAGTCAAGCCCCTGACCCACGTCTACCTGCTTCTCTACGTACACCGCCGGGTCCTAGAGGACACACGATCACAACAGAACCCGACTTAGTACTCGAGAAAGGATATGAATCAAGAACTCTCGCCGGAAGTTACGCTCTTTTCCGTATAAAGAGGAGAATATACGTTCCGGCGAGGCCCCACTTAAGCTGAACCAAGCTGCACCAGGGTTGAAGCGGTTAGAGCTATCACACCTACTACACAGGTGATTACATGTTTCATTCTATCAAACAGAGGTGATCGAGCAAAACTCTCCGGTCCTTTCAGTCGAGACATAATCTCGGAAAGCGAGAACCAGAGAACAAGCGAACGAGAGAAAATTATACTACTCATATATGTATATGTACTCATTATATATTCATTTTAAAATGAGTGTCAAATTAAAAATAATTGAATCTACTATGACATTTGTCATCTTAAAAATCGCGGTGTGCAAGAAGATCATAATTTTAAGTAAAACGTACTAACTACACTTGCCAAAGAAAGCACGCATACAACCAGTCGTTTTACCCCCTTACCCTACGATTTAATTTCCAACTGTGCGTGCCAAAAGCGACACCAAGGTTTGGCCCGGTAGACTTATCACGTCTCTGAGACATCTTATTCATGTTTGGCCCGGTAGACTTTTCACGTCTCTGAGACGACAAACACTTAAAAATTATCTATCACCTAGCTAAAGGGAATTGAACAGAGTATATTAGCAAAATGTTACAAGAATTTAAGCTGAAACGTAAAAATAAAAATCTTATATTAATCAGTGTCATCGAAACAAATATGGTGTATGCATTGACACAACTTCGATCGAGACACCAAGTTGAATCAACACCAAACAATCAAACGAAATGGAAGAATTACATAAATGCGAAAAACAATGTAACAGTAGGAACAGAGAAAAGGAACATTCATAATAACCAAATAAAATCAGATAGATAAATACAGCTGAATTCACATCAAACAAACAAATAAAAATAATAAAATATAAATAAGTGGAGTGGACTTACTATTTGTTGTCAGTACATAGGGTAGTTACCACTGGGCCAGCTGTAAAGTAAGAAAATATTCATATTATAGCAACACCAGTTAGGCAAGCAAGGCAAAATCAGTTCATTGAAGCAAAATTAGCATCAAACGATAGAATAAAAGAGGGGAGAGAATTTTTAAACAGTTCTTAGCGTTGGTCATCACCGTCCGGCACTGGTCAGTAGTGGTAGGAGCACTAGTCAGAACTGGTCAGTATTGGTCAGTAGTGGTCAGTAGTGGTCAGTAGTGGTCAGTAGTGGGTAGTAGTGGTCAGCAGTGGCCAGTAGAGGTCAGCAACGGTCACCGGTTCACTTCTGGCTATTTGTACACTCCCGAATTCGCGACGAGACTGAAGAATTCTTCGCAGTGGCCCTGCTTATATGTCTAAGATGATGAAAGGGTAGAGAGACCAGTACTACCAGATCCATCAGTCTACAAAGAAACTATTTCGATTGGTCCCACCTTTTGACCATTTCTGGATCTTCACTGGACCGCTTACTTTGATGTCAACCTCACTGTTGACCACCAGTGACCATAAGCTAGTCATTGTTGATCATCGACCCATTAAAACCATTACGAAGATTAAAGCCTTCTTACGAGGATCCCCTTACAATTTGATGCATGATCTTTTTAATATTTTGTTCCACTTTGGAAGAGTATATTTCGTTATTTTTTGTTTTTTTGTACGTCAGTTCACTGAATTAGTATTGATGGACAGGCAGTTGTAACGTGTGCGTAAATACATGCGAGTTGACTATGGGTAAGGGATTGAAATTCATTTCTAAATCTGTTGGTAATGTTGCGAGTGACACGAAAATGGTAATGGGGCTCTAAAGCTCCAGAAAAATGGGCCGAAAAAATACATTGGGTGAAAGCACAGACGAGGTATATGTGAGGAATGAGGAATTTCCGGGGCCCCGATGCACAGTCTGATTAAACTGATTTCGAGTCGCAAATACGTTTCTGCCGAGTTATTTTTTTAATAAATGATGTATTACAAATTAAAATAAAAAATAGAGAATTTGCGGTGTACGTATCAATGAAATACATCCTTAGGAATTTTAATAATCTTGAAATTTTTAAATACTCTTAATCGATTGATTTCTCCAATGAAATTAATCGATTAATGTCCAATGATGGACCCTACAGCTTTAATTCCGTTAAAAAATAATAAAATTTATGTAATTTTATTTTCTGTCTCACTTCCTCTTGTGTTCATTTTTGAATCTGTTGATAACGTTGCGAGTGACACGAAAATGGTAATGGGGTCCCGGGACCCCAGAAACTCCGGCCGAAAAATTACATTAGATGAAAGGTCTATTCCTATACCTCGTCTGTGGTGAAAGGTCTATTCATATATCTCGTCTGTGATTTAACGTGATAAACGCCAGGTATACGGGGTATACCCCATTTGTAAATGTATACTACGTTTAGTCTATGGTCAGGAATAAACTGCTACTGGCATCTAGGGAACATATTTATGGAATTGTGTAGTTTCCTGCACAAATAGATTGACTGTTACGTTAGTACCAAGTATTATAACGGTGGTGCTATTGTTGCAATGCGAAAGTTTCGTACATATGTCGGGTGGGTCGGATAGATGATGTAGAAATCCACAACTACTGTAATTTATAGCACCGAAATCTTTGAAACATTTTACTCAACATAAGGTAAATATTTCACAAGTTTCTCTAACAAAAAAGTGAACATTTTGGAACCAGCCTGTTATGTCAGCACTGCCGTGTGACAGATGGACGTCTTTCGATGGGTTCATCGTTCGATATTAATGAGTCACATTAATTCCAAATCTTGTTTCGTCGCGTTTAATACGGAGAACTTATGTATTTATATGGCGATCGTAATAGTTCGAATTTCGCGTACAAATTTGTTGATGCGGCTTTCAGAGATTCTGTAGAAACTGACGTCATGGAACAGAAATCAATAAATGCACCGGACCCGATTTAAGTTCCATTAAGTTTCGTGAAACCTACCAAGAGTTTTATAAGTCCTGACGACGCTTTTAACATATCTACGATATTTTTTCATTCATTTTTAATATATTCGTGAATATGCTTTAGGTAGTAAAACAGACTAGCAAGATGATGTCCGATAGAAAAGCTGAGCTTGAGAGGAAAAAGGCCAAGCTTCAAGCTATAAGGGAAGAAAATGAGAGACGTAGAAGAGAGAAGGAACAGAAAGATGTAAGTCATTTTTATTCTGTATTACTGATAACTTATTATTTATAATGTCTGTCATTTTTATTTAACTTATCTATATTTTTTTGAATAAAGATCGAGGAAGCTACGGTCCGTGCTGCAGGTACAGACAAAGACCAACGTAAAGAATTGGATGCTATGCTTTCATCTTTAGGAGTAGCTCCAGTATCAGGTACGTATCTTTGTTTCTCAGTTTAATTATTATTCCTTACTTTATAATTTATATTATTTACAGATGTGGTATCCAGCTTATCTAGTATGAATTCTTTAACACCGGAACAGAGTGCCAATGCTACTCCTGATGCTAGTTTACAACCATCCAGTATAAACTCTGCTCAAAGGTATTTATACTTCAAAAATCTGTTTTCTGTGTACCTGCATTTGCCGTGCGAAATTTATATAAATTTCTCTTGATAGCGCTGGACGTAGGAAAAATCGGGAACTCACGGTCGTCTCCGTGGCTCAAACTAATATTCCGCCGAAGGAAGCTGTGGTCTATAATAAACAAACACAGACCATTCAGACAACGCTCACATCCCACGACGGTGAGTCACTGCATCTATCTTATAAATTACTACACTATATGTTGCTTCTTGTAAATTTACCAATTATTCAATTACTGGACAACAACGTTTTGGAGCGTACAGTACAGTAATGTTGATTAAATGCAATAAAAATGCATATTAAAGAAGTAAATAACGCGTATAGGTGTCCCGGATTTTAATGGGTAAAGTTCATTGATATATTCTATAGGACTAAATAAGAAAAAAAATATTAGGCTTCATTAAAAAACTACTCAAATTCGTCAAGTGTGTATTTACGGTTTACCTGCAGAACTATATCATTTCCTTATAAATGTATTTTAAAAAAAGTCTAGCTTAATTCATTCGCGAAGTTCCATGCTCGGTGTTCTAATGTGACTCAACACCGGTAACATAAATAATCCGGAACACAAATAAATTCCCATAACGAACCGATACAAATATATACTGACGCGTTCGATCGAACGAAACAAGATAAAAATGAAATTTGTAGCTTAATTAATTACTTCTGAAAGTGCAAAAAGTATCATGTTATCTTTGAAAACGTCAGGTAGTAAACACAACTGGCATAAATAGTCGTACTCCATATTTTTGTGATAATTTTTTAGTAAAGCTTCCAAGAACTTATGTTTACATATCATTTTCTTTTATTATTCAGACCCATAGAATATATTGACAAAGTTTGACCGTTCAAACCTGAGGCACCCTGTATATACAGAGTACTCCATTTAAATCTGTGAATGAATATATCTTTAAAGGTTTGATTAAAATGATTGAATACATGGAGATCGATAAAGATCGAGGATTTCGCGAAAAATCTGAATTCCATCGAAATAATTTCTTCTAATATTCTAACAACCTTGATTCCTTTCGGTATATTCGATATATTCATTTATAAATTAAAATAGGACACCCTGCATACATATTATAACGACAATATAATAATACATGGTTTCCACAATTTATTACATTGATTTTTAATCCTTTGTAGTCTGATACTGGTATTCTCTTAATAAATTTAGTAAATTGTATCAAATGATCACATTTTTAGAAAATATTCGTAATAATTTCATTAATATTATATTAAACAAAAATTTGCTTTGGAGTGCAGTAATTGATAAACCTTTACATTAACAATGATATAAATTATAATTACCTATTCTTATTTTTTAATAAAGCACATCTAAAATTCATGCTATAATTAAAAAATTTCCGGATTTCGGATTTATACGTTATTTATTTAAGAACGCAAAGGATTAAAATGTGTTGAAATGAAAATTTACCAATTTATGGCATATTGATACTATAAATATTGATACTAAATATCATTATTATTGTGTGTGATTAAATATTTAATATTTATAGCGTTTCTTTAATGCATTAATCGAATATGGTAAAGTGGGTGGTGTATATAAAAATGCATCATTTAAAAATATTTGCCATCAATGACATAATAATTTGTAATAGAGTCACCAAGTATTAACAGTATTGTATATATTTTAATTAATAAATTACATTGATTGTAATACATAATCAAGCACATCGGTTAAACCTTGTTTTAGTCATAACTTTAATTTCTTTGTGATAATAATAAGAAATGATTTACACACTCGTATTGTGTTTTATAATTAATTATAGCTAATGAGGAAACTTACATATTCTTAAAATACATACATACAAAAATGGCATGTTACTCGCCTGTAGCATTGTCATTTTATTTTTTCATTGTGTGTATTAACTTCTGTTCGATTATCAATAATTTTCAACATTTTTTAAACAGACAAACTATTTAAAAGATTCTTGTTTAGTGTAACACAGACTAGATTATAAGTGAAAAACTAGCTCATTTTTTTAAATAGTCTTTTGCAGTTTTAATTGTGAATTTGCAAAAAGTATTTGTTAATGTTAATATCAGGAACACATGGTATTTTGATCGAAATATTAATTTAATATTCTATTATTGAGAAAGCAACAAGTTCTTATGTTGTAAAAAGAAGCATTATCTATCCCAAGATTCTTACCGTTATAACGATTTATATAAAAAATGTTTTAGTAATAAAATAAATAAATTTCTGACAGTTTTATTTGCGAACATCGTATGTTATATAGAAAGTATACTAGTAGATATAGAAAACACTTAACACATAATCAGGTTGCGGACACAAATATTGTTTTTTTCCTGGTGGTGGCAACTGTGTTTTTTTGTATTTCATACTTCTATTTCATTCACCCGCAATTTCAGTTAGTTTCGTTACAATTTTTTAATTTTTCACGTTTGTTTTTATCACTATCGAAATAAATTATAACAGGATCAACTGCATGGTTTTTATAACGTTTCCCTTATTCGTACCACCTACTTTACTATGACTTCTTATCAAAGCGTAAAGTTTAGGTAAAGTATATCGGAGGACGATCTTTTGGTAACAGTACAATCGAAACGTACGATTATGAAATTTCTTGCTTTAATGGCTTTTAACACGAACATTGGATATGTAGATGTTACATATGTGTCCCATTATCTAACTGATATTGCGGCATTATTAAATATACGCGTATTTGATTTTCTTGCGATACAATCGGTCAATTCAATCGGTGTTGGACACAAGAACTGTCCACATCATCTTCTGCATACACCATCTACTCCTGTTCAACAACAACACCAACTCACTCTTACTCCGCAGGCTACTTTGAGACTGACTGGTGGCGTCCCAGGAAAGGTGGGTCTGCACCAAACTACCTATGTATGTTCTGTCATCTTTTTATTACCCTTCCTATAATTGTTGTACAACAGTATATAATAGAGGTAGATACATTGCTATTCATGTTTAAAGCAAAAGGATGTAGAGTCAAATTTGAGATCACACTCTGCTTTGCTAATTTTTACTAATTCTTTCAATAATAATTTTACGTACCAGCAAATATTATAAAAGAAAAGAACAAGCTATAATTAAATTTCGTTGATTCTACAACCCCATTATGTATCAAATATTGTACATGGAATTAGATTACAAACAATTAGTATATTCATTTTCAAAGGTTTCAAAGATATATCATGTATTTTAAAAGGCTATTTAGGCTCGAGATTTTGGTCAGCTTATTTCGTTTATATATATTCCCATGTACAATATATATTTGTTGGCATAAAAGACTTGCTTTTTAACACGCTTTACAGAATTTAATTATATACTAACAGTTTATAAGAATTAAATAATACATTAACTTTAGGCGTCCTGTTTGTTGGGAATATTTGGAAATTATTATTACAAAAGTCAATATACCTTGACTCATGCGTGCTAGTATTAAATTTATCGAACAAACGAATTAATTACTATTGATGCTTTCTTAATTTATGGATATGAATATTTATAGACAGCAGTGTTATCATAACTGTAACACGTTAGAAGTTCAGTTTTCTTGGCATTGTGTCCACCATTTAAAATTCAACATTGACAAATGTTCTTGCGATAACTATTGTTTTGTATTTGTTGTAATGTGCAAAATACAGCACATTACCAGTTTCCCAATGTGTTAACAAAATTTACTTTTGAGATTGATAGTAAAATTTGTTTCTGAGAAACTTAGGGGGGTGGGCATAAGTGTGACAAGGGATGCAAGTGAGATATAAAATTTTACTTTCGTATAAGCATCCATTGGTAGTCACATTAAATAACATAAATGCTTCATTATTTTCCATTAGGTAATCAAAGATGAGTAGTACAATAAATTTAAAGGAAAGTGTTGAATTATGTTAAGAACTAAAAAACAACATTAATTGAATCATATTTCAATAATATAAGAAGCATCGAATATGTATGTTTCCTCTTACATGTAGGAATCACAGCACTGCACGATATAAAAATTAACAAATCTATATTCACCTAACTACATTCAGCAGGTCAAGTTTTGTTTCAATTTTTTTTTAATATATATATTTTTTTTTTAAATACAATTATAAATCCAACTCTCTATGACTTCCAATCGTAGATTTTTACAAGCAATAACCAAGTTTTATAAACACTAAAGTACGGCTATGACACTGCAAACTTGATACAAAATAAAACTTAATAATGCTGTAAAACAAGCTATCAGTTATATATATAGCGTGAACTTTTAATTTCCAAACCTTTATAACTGATTTACAACAATATTGTGTATTATTTTTCTAATTTATTTTTCACGAACATTTAATTAGTTTTCGTTTAATTATGTATGGTCTGAGTGTAGAGAGGTGAAATTAGTGTAGTGCATTCTTACGAGATTGTAACTAAGTGCAATTTTTTTCCCTCCCCTTCTCAGCTCATGCATTCGACTATTACGGTAAGTTATGATTTCTCTTGGTTTTCAAAAAGTTTTAGGTTCAGATTTAGGTTTAGCTTCATTCCATTACTTTCTCCCGGTTTAATAGTATATAAATGTACATAATGAGAACCAAATGCAGAGTATTAGGATAATATATACATATAATAATTGTCGAATTAAATTTCACAAGTAAATGCAAAGTTTTTCTTATATCGAAATTAATTTTTAAGGTAAGAAAATTATTACTGTGTTTCGTTTTCTATAAAAAAAAAGAAAGTTATAAATTTGAGAATGCACTCTCTCTCTTTTCTCCCCAATCGTAAACACGACGTTTTTAATAACAAAGAGAGCAAAAGTATTACTTTATAAATTTAAACAAGATTTATCAGTAATACAGAAATGCAAAAATGACTCTCCACCCAAAATCTAATGTATCTTTACTATCTTATAAATTGCTTTACACTTTTTAGCTCTTTTACCTTTTATGTCGATCTACTTTTATTGAGTGTATTTACGTTTGGTTACTGTATTTATTACTTTTTAAGTATTTATCTGACATCCCGACTCTCAAACGGAAATATTTTGGCATTTACCACCTTAATTTTCAAAGTACGGACCGTACACGTGTCTCTTACGAAAATTGAAAATTTACCATCGAGTATTTTTTTTATTAGGTATCGAACGTAAATTAATAATCACAACACTGTCTACAAAATAAAAATTACTGCCAAGTCTACCTAATATAATTCATGCATACAAATTTAAAATATCTAATCTAAACCCACGCCTTGTTTTACATCAACATTAAATAAACACATTTACTGTGTATACAGACTACCTTTGGAGTATTTGATTATTTATTTTAAATTGAAAAGTGTCTAAAATCAACAATTGTAATCAAGGAAAATTGGTGTTGTGATGCATTATACATCACTGTGTTGAAATTAACAGTAATGTTATTCTGTAAACAGAAGTATCGTTTCGAACGAATAACATTTAAAACTTTGTACTTGTAATGTTCAAATTGTTTTGCCAGATCTTTCGATATTGTTTGAAATAGGGACTGTCTATAATATAAAATGTTTAACGACTGAATATCCATTGGCAAATCTTGTCACAACTTAACGCACCTTCCAGAGTTCTCGGCGTGATATAACGGTTATTTCAGTAATTTTTGGTATATTACGGTGTACTAACATGGAAAAGAATGTTATGGTGCTGGGGTTAGCGAATATTATAGTTAAAACTTTGTGTTGAAATAGAAGGAAAGATACGGTTAAAGGTTCAGCGCCTCAAATTTTTAATTTCGCAAAACAGTAATTCATTGTTGCTACAATCTGATATGATCGTGTATTGTAATCGCAAACATTGCTTCTTCATAGCACGGTTTTCGTAATAGCGATCTAGTGAAAATTATAAAAATATTGTTCCATAGATACATTTTACGAAGGTAACAAGTACGTTGTTCTAACGATTGATATGATTCTAAATAAAAAAAAAAACGCTCTGAGAGGATTTTACTTTCAAGAAGGGCTATTTTATTTCTAATTCTTAAAATAAATTTAATTGAACAATTCAAATTGCAAACGATTTTATTTGTAACGTGTTAGCAGTCGGAGATGTCAGTCTATTATACCAAAATTTTATGAATTCTTTCTTCGTCCCCTTCTTTTTTATTGTTTCTAAAATTTCCGAGGATTGAGTTTCACGATAGATTTATTTTTAAAAGACAATACTAATTCCTCAGATACCAAGGGAACAACTCTTACGTTAGTCTTGTCATACTAAAGAATAATAATATTGATGGTATTATTTATAATAAATATATGATTATTTTTAGCTGAAGTTTATAGAAAAACCTGAAGGGATCGTGATCGTGTTTATAATTTGTCTTAACTTTGAAATCAGTACAGTTATATACAGGGTATTTATCTACAGGTTGACAATAATTAGGAAATTAAAAGTTTTACTTTATTAGAGAAGAATGTATTTAACATTTTGCTGTAAAATTTATTTTAAATACTTTCTAAACATTTACAAGCAACAAACGTATATCAGAAAAAGTAAAATGCTACAGAAGGTACTCGTATTTATCTGAGGGTTAATTTTGTTCAAAATCTAATCTAAAATAAAATTGTAATAGTCGAAAAATAATCAGGAGGTCCTAAACGAGTAAAAATATTTTCTTGAAATTGTTTTTTCAATTAAAATATAATTTGTATAGATCGAAAAGTAAAAATGCCTTGTACAAATATTATTTTAGATAAATACCTTATATATATATATATATATATATATATATATTTTTTATTTTAATAGATCGAAAAAGGTTATACAAATTTTTCATTGATCCCTTTAGTGTATTGTTGAGAAACATAATAGGGTATACTATATGCATGTTTATAGATGTATTTATAATTACTCATTTGACATAACCGTTTCAATCTTTCTAGATAATTGTTGATGTATTTTGCATGGTAAACGATAAATATTAAACGATAGGTCTTATTCATAATTTCAGTTATTCTCGATTAAGTATTATATTAAATATAAACATCATTTTTTGTGTATATATTTTAATTCTACGTTTAGAAGTTTGATTAAATAGACCCTTACAGTATACATCAATAATTTCCTATGAGAGACATGAAATTAGAAACAAACATTACTAACATAATGAAACACGAGATTGATTGACATTTTCTTTTCCCTCCTTCAAGACGAGTACAATCTAAATCCTGGTTTAGAATGGGAGGACGAATTTACAGGTAGGTAATCCTCTCTAGAGATGATTCACTCTACCTAATTATATCACAAATATAATTATATTCATTTTTTTTTTTTTTTTTTTCTTTTTTTTCCACAAAATTGCATTTGAAAGTAATCCTCATACAACTTTGTTTTTATTAAATTACTATCTCTATATGCACTGAAAGGAGGGAACTTGTACTATTAATTCACACTAAAAATTGCTTAACGAATCATTGGATTATTAGGTAGTTATTATGGTTTGTTACATAATTGTAAAAATTTGTGCTTTATTTATTATGCATGCATAGACAGTATATATTTATAGTTCTATTATGTTCTTCGTTATTTTTCATTGCAACGCATGAACAAAGCAATACAATAAACTACTCTTATCATTGCCATTTCGTTTTACACTGAAACAGTATTTATTTGATTCGAATTTCTCGATTCAGATCGTAACTTCACATTATTTCTTTAATATTTTTTCGTCTAAATAAGTTACATATTCATTTAATGCTGCATGAGACTTGGGAAGTTGCGTTAATAAACCTCCACTCCATTTTTTATATTCATATATAAACATTTTTTTGTATTATTTTTTTTTATTTTATTTGACACCAACTTTGGACAGGCTTTATTCGCGAACAACTGAACAAAAGTTTTTAATTCGTAAACGAATCTGACATTTTGTACTCGTTGTTCGTAAATAAAATGTGCCCAAATTTTTTATACGATTCTCGTTGGTTCAGAATTCATGAAAAGCAAGTGTTTTCGCTAATGGGTACTGGAACTAGGAAAGTGTGTCAGTTAACGTAGCATTATAACACAACATTATTCGCTTCATTTTAAAAAAGAATCATGATTTGATTTAGTCTTCTTATTTTCATCTTTTCTTTTCGCTTACGTATTATTCTAAAACAAAAGGGTGGAGAGATACCGTTTCAAATAATTCTCATAACAATCGTAATTATTTTAAACGAAAATTAAATTATTATTTATGTGATCCACCAACAAGCAGCCCACCTTCTAATGTAACTAATATCAATGCATGACGATTAAATTTGATTCCAGTAGCTTCTCCGACATTGCGTATGTTTTATTCGTTTCCCGACGAATTATCTTTTTTCTCATTGATTTAATATACTTTTATAAAAGCTTTTGAAAGAGAGTTGCATCCCTTATTTTTAAACCTGACGCTTGTGCAGTTTGTTTGTCAACACTTTGTTTTCTTTACGTTAACGTACGAACGAATATCGTTTCTCGTTACACGCCACCGTGCAACTTTTTACCGAACAAAATTTTTAAATTTGTAACAATACACGAAGAGAACCGCGTGGTTTACGGAAAAATTATTTTAGGCGAATCGAACGCGTTACTTTTCTTTTATCCGTTCATTTGTCGAAGTACATTCGTGAAAATTATTGCGTCGGTTAGAATATTTCACACGAGTCGTCGACGAAAATTCACTTAGCAGCGAACGTGGTAGCGTTGTTACGACCGATACAGCATTTTTACAAAAACGTAGCGAATCGAATTCTTTAAGTAGGACGTTTGCCAGAGGTAGATAGATGTATCGAAGTTAGGGTATTCGTAGCGGAACCAGCTTATTCACCACAGTTTTGACATTTGATGATGGCCAAGCCGAAGATGAAGAGAACAGCTTGCCGCACATGGACGGTTTCCAAAGCAAACTCCCCCCGGGAATTCTTCCTCACGGTTTGCCGCAAGTTAAGGAAGTGCAGCCCGCCGTTACGCAAGTGGAGCAAGAAAAGGAAAAGGAAAAGCCTAAAGAAGGTAAACTTTCCGAACGAATAACTTCCTATTAAACTGTTTTTTTTTTTTTATTTTCTACAAGTTGGAATTCTGAAGAAGGGAAAAATTTGAGAATATTAATTTATAGTACAAGAACTTAGCGAGGAGGAAAAACAAATGATTATACTGTCCGAGGAATTTCAACGATTCCTCGATCGCACTAGTAGAATCGTGGAAAGGGCGTTAGGGGAATCAGTCGATATTTATACCGATTATACTGGCAACATGGACGGTGAAGATGGAATGTGAGTAAAAATTAGCAGCGTTGAAATCGTATTTACAGAAATTAATTTTCTTTAAGACAAAGAATACTTGTACTATCTTAGGGACGAGAAGAGCCATCAACGTCTATGGTTGAATCGATCGTTTTTCTGCGATCGATGGTCTCGTAATCGCTGTGTCACTTCGATGGATTGGTCGCCGCAGTTCCCAGAACTGCTCGCGGCCTCTTATAACAACAACGACGACACCCCGAACGACCCTGACGGGGTTTGTTTAGTTTGGAACACGAAATTTAAAAAAACCACGCCAGAGTTTATTTTCCACTGTCAGTCGCCAGTATTGTCGATCACCTTTGCGAGATTTCACCCTAATCTGATCTTAGGTGGCACTTATTCCGGACAAATAGTCCTTTGGGATAACAGGGTGCAGAAACGAACTCCGATTCAACGCACGCCATTGTCCGCGAACGCACACACTGTAAGTTGTTTAAATTGTTCGAAATGCAGTCGTCACGATCTCGCCTTAATCTTTAACGATTGTATCGATAGCATCCCGTGTATTGTTTAAACGTTGTCGGGGCTCAAAACGCACACAACTTGATAAGCATTTCCACCGACGGGAAACTATGTTCGTGGAGTTTAGACATGTTGTCACAGCCGCAAGAGAGACTGGAGTTACACGTCAAACAATCGAAAGCAATCGCTGCTACTTGTTTAGCGTTTCCTCATGGCGACGTTAATAATTTCGTGGTAGGCAGCGAGGATGGTACTGTTTATTCCGGTAAATAATTATGCTAGCCAATTTAACGCTCTACGGTTCTGGAACATACAGTGGCAGACTTACGAACACATGGTAGCTGTGTATAGGAAGGGTGTAATAAATCGGTGTATAAGTACACTGGTATTATTTATGTGGCTATAACAAGTTGTATACATAATATGTCCGCCACTGTATGTAGAGTAGAAATGTAATGCAAATTAAAAAGAGTCACTGTAATAATACATGTTTGTTTGGTAGCTTGTCGTCACGGTACGAAAGCAGGAGTATTAGAGACCTACGAAAGTCACCAAGGACCAGTTACTGGAGTTAGTGCACACGCGGTCCAAGGTGGAATAGATTTCTCGCACCTGTTCCTGACATCTTCCATCGACTGGACGATCAAGCTCTGGAGTCTGAAGGAGAACAAACCCCTCTATTCCTTCGAGCATAATGGCGATTACGTTTACGACGTTGCATGGTCACCCACCCACCCGGCACTGTTCGCTGCCGTAGACGATTCGGGAAGATTAGATTTATGGAATCTCAATCAAGATACCGAAGTGCCTACCGCGAGTATTATGATCGAAGGATGCCCAGCTCTTAACAGAGTCTCGTGGACACCGAGCGGTTTACATGTAACGGTTGGCGACGATACTGGAAAGATTTGGGTCTACGACGTTGCCGAGGTAAGCTTAAAATATTATTATAGTAACACTTTGCCAAAGATATTCATCGAAAAAAGTGAGGAACGTAACGAACGAACGTAGTACTAAATAATCGATTGCACAATGAGTTAAATTTTAAGTTCATAAAAATATATTTAAAGAGATATGTTTCACTGATATATAACGTTCGTTTGAATATAGCACTTAGCACATCCAAGAATCGATGAGTGGAATAAGTTTTTATACACGCAACAGGAGTTGAAAAACAACAAAGCGGACGAAGAATTGCATAAACTTAATCTACGAGAACCTGTATCGTTAAGTTCTATAACCCCTCTGATACAGACGTGTCCCCCCTTTAAAGATACATTTATGATATAACCGTTAAATTTAACTCGAGTACTTTAAACGATAAAAATCAAATAAATTCAAAATATTTATAACCATAGAAAACCTGAAATGAAGTAAAAATGAAAGTTTATGCACTAATTTTAATTTATAGGTGTACCCTTAACTATTTGTGGAATACCTTCAGTCTGTATAAAGTGTTAAACTTTAACCTTTTCATTATATAGATGCAATTACTGCGAACTCAAACGGCTATAATTCAACGTGTCCGATAGAAGCAGTATATTATTATTGAATGACTCTAACGCGATACATAATAAAGAATGTGCGCAACATGTATTTGCATGTAAATAATACAAGCTATGAACGCGGCTTGAAATAAAAAATTGCATAAATACAATACGATAATTACGAATTTGACAGTATTTACATCAAGCAATTTGTATTATAATTTGTTCTTTATTATTTTTCGTGAATATATATCATTATGTTTCGAATCATTTTTCAAGAATAATTTGTTTCCGTTCTACTGCTTTTATCTAACATATTAAAGACAACTTCAGCAGAATACTTACACGATATTCCAATTGAAAGTAATATAATATCTAGTATCGTCCTTTTTAAATAACTTTATTATTATTATTTATATCCATACAAAAATAATTTAGCCCTCATAATTTCGTTTTTTGTAATATATAGTTAATAATATAATAAGTAACAAAATTCACTGATCAAAGATTATCGGTTAAAAATTGTAAATATAATATTACTTTATAATAAACTGCTGGTCTTTATCTAAAATGTGATACTGTTAAATATACTTCTGCGTTTTTTTTGTGCGTATTTGTGCTCAAGTCAAACTTCTTTTACACTACCATAGTTTTAGTAATAAACTTATTAGTTCCACAATTTATTATACACCGAACAACGTTCTGTTAAATACAAGTAATTATAAATTTATTAAAACTTTTTGTAATGCTCATTTTTTTTATTTAAACTGCGATAAATAATGATAGTTGTATATGTAAGTGGATAAGTTAATTTGTTTATTCGATGCTACAAATAAAATTTTATTTTAAAGTGCTGAACCTGCAGTTGTTTTTTCCTTATGGTATTATAATTCTTCTTAAAGTAATTTACTGTTATCTTATAGCAATGTAACCATAAAATAAAAAAATATAATCTAGAAAGGTCAAGAGATTTTACTAGATATGCAGTGCGATGCCGAGCCCCAGGGACTTTCTCCTAGCGATTACTTGATTAACCCTTTGCATTCTGAGAATTTGTATTAATTGAGTGACTTCTAAAAATAAAAAATATTTTTTCTTCCACAAAAAGTTAATGTTTCGTACCGTTTCCCAACAAATCTCACATTTCTTTCCTTACTCGACTATTCAAAGTTCCGAGTTCATGCATTTATTTCCACTACTTGTGTGATGGGACAAATCCAATATGGTGGACGGTGACTCACGGATGCACAATCTAGTGTCACAGGTGCAAGGACGAAGCCAGACAGAATTTTATATTTTATATAACGTTTCTACAATACCGCTATAATACTGGCATATTGATGTAATATTTAAGGGGATCGTTTCACAATAATATTACTACAACGTGTCTAGTACTATTATAAACATGAAAACATTCCAATATATATTACTAAAGTGACCAGATGTCTCGTGCTGAATGCGGGACAAGCTCCCCACTTTTTTCACACCACCCCTCTTCCCTTCAAAATCACTTAATAAATTTGCGAAAATATTATAGCAGGTAGCTACAAAACATGCAAGACAAATAATCTTAAAGCATTATTTATATTTGTTTGTACATTGCTACACGTTATATGTAGTTTTCCGTGAAATAAATTTTGTTTATAAGATCCTTCTAAACTTTCTTTTGTTACATCTTTTATACTATACATATTCTTACAAACATAATCAACTCCAATTACCAATATGTCAATGTCCAATTACAAATAACTCAAATCCGGGAAGTCTGGTCACTTTAATACTATGCGCCATATGGTAAGCGTATGGTTGCACTTTCCAAGAAATTGTTTCTTCGTAATTTCTGTTCCCAATATTTTATATTTGCACATTTGCACAAAAATGAAAACTAGATGATCGACGCGTAAAATTTAAAAATTAAATTATTTCATGTTTGTTCCGTCGCTTTTCACGCCACGTCAAAATAGTTAAACGACGCACGTTTGCTATTGCAATTACTTTTTTGTCGAGAAATGTAATTAACACCCTTTTGACGTTGCTATTGTGGTTGTACGCTTAACGAGAGAAATAAGGACCCTTGAAAACAAAAAGAAACGAGAAAAGAGGCACTCCTGCGGAGAAGCAAAATGCAGATCGATATAATCCCTCCATTGATTAAAGTCGATGTTTTGTCAGAATTCTCTACCCCAATGAACGACCTCAGCAGTGGGGTTAGCAGACGAATAAGGGTGAGAATCCTGGCCGTCGACCTCGGTTTAGTTGCCTTACGAACCGCGTATGAGTCGTTCGTGTTTTACCCTTACGTCTCGACAAATATTCTTTATATTTTTTTTCTAGTTAAATGTATCGTTCGACAGTCTATTTTATCGTTAACTGGGCCCCCTCCTGCAATTTATCATGGAAAAAGGTGTAAATTCGTAACAAAATATAAGAAGTTCAGGTAGAATGCGTTTGATAGTCTTCAATCGATTTTTGACCTTTCAAAGTTTTCATACAAATTACGTTATTCGTCGCGTCATATTAATTTTATATTGTATAGGTATATCGTTTCGGATTCGTAATTCACGCGTATGCATTTAAATAATACGAAATGTTTATAATATCTAATAATAGTACCTCGTTGTTAAAAATTTTAAACATTTTCATACGAAAAATTTCGTTTAAATTTAGTTAATTATTCGAGCTCGCCCATGAATATTTTATTTCAATTTCGTCGTGCAACCGGTTGAAACCTAATTAAAAATAAGTTGTACAGCTACAGTGTTTGTTTCACGGATTGTGACGTTCGAGCGGCAAAATGTGAAATACTTTAAAATTGTGAAAATGGTGGAATAAGTGGAAAAATAAGGAGCGACAGTTTACGTCCTTCGATATCGATTCGTGGCATATTCGCGAAGAGACCATTTATGTTTTCACATTTTGTGAGCGGGAAGAGATTCTTCTCGAAGAGAATGCTCCCATCGAAATAAATAAGAATATCGTAAGTTTACGAAGCTCGAATATTGGAAATAATTTCACTCGAATAATAATGTTTAGAAAAAACTGTAACCAGCCTATATTCGAATATGTATTTGCATGTCCAGGAATGAAATACGGATGACAATCTGGATATGAATTTGAAATCTAAATGGCTCTTCTTCGGAATACTAATTACTATCCTCCTTGAATACGGTAAACTTTTTCGAATTTTATAACTAATTTAAAATATTTTCACTCTGTACAAAGAAATGTATGGACAAAGCAAGATTATAGCTTTCTAATATTTTATAAGCCATTGCCTGGGTAATAATTAATAAAACGAGGCATTCAGGTTTCACTAGATCGATTACGGAAGACGACGAAGAGTTCGGTGCATTGAACATCGATACACCATCTTCTCACGTAGCTCTTTCGGGAGACCTTACGGTTCTTGTTGTAAACTCAGACCCGATATTGAAAGAAACGAAGCAAACAAATGAATTAGAGAAGGAGAAGATTGAGAATTTCTCCAACGAACTGCCTTTATTGCGGTAAATCAGTTACCATTATGAAAAATGCCACGGTATTGTTTGTAATTTCTAATTGTTTCTATTGTTCGTAGAATATTGTACCTCCTCGATAACATATCAGAATTAGTCGGTGAAATACGATTAGAGAAACTGCCGTCGAGAAACGAAACCATTTCGATTAACATTCCCTGCGGATATTTCACTCGCGGCGGAATTTACGCTCTGCGAGTAGAGTACAAATACAAAAATTCTTCAGTGCCTACTACCTCCCTCTATCAGGTTGTAAAATTTTTATTCACCATTTTCTCTGTCGTTTTTATCAATCGAAATTTTTTAACGTTACAAATATGCGCAATTTCGTTCGTAGACGAGTAAAATATTGAACGTGAAGTGGCCGACACCTAAAATCTTTTTAGAGTCTCAACAAATTGTTACTTATCCAAACAAACGCTTTACGATCACTGTAAAATACGATGGAACAAGTTGTAGTCCGACGGAGAATGTTCCTGTAGCTGTTTATATTTTACAATTAATATATTGCGGGTCTAGCGTGACCGCTTGTTATTTACAGAATAACACTCATACTCAAGCAAGTATAAACATACTTCCTACTTTTTATCAATTTTTATTTCCATTTCTTTATAACACTTTTTTCTTTTATTGTACAGATAAATTATTTTAGCTCTTTTTAACAGAAGATTATTCTTTTTCGTTAACCTTTAACTGGCATGGTGTATTTATAAAATGCAATTAGTATCGTGGGACGCTTCAAAACTTTATAATGTTTAGGTGTTAATTTAGATGTTTTACAATCAATTAGGGAATTATAAGTAAAACAACGAGTTATATTAAATGAGAGGGAGTGAATCTTTTCAGCTGGTATATCTATAATTCATTTCCACCTTTGTAGATTTTACATTACGAAGAAATAAGAGGTTTTATACCGCCAAAGACTATACTTTTACAGTGTGAATTTTTCGGATTACCTGGAAATTATTTAATCAGATTGAAAGCTTCTAGCGCGAATCCGACAGCACCAAATACCAGTGTATATATGAAGGTAAATAGTGCAGAAACTAATTAGTTAATTTCAGAATAAAACGGAAACTTTCGAATTATGTGAGATGTTATTTCAATTACTCCTTAACGCCCAGATATTTTTCGAAATTGCAGTCCAATTATTTTACGGATTTTTATTTGAATATATTAGCCAGTACATATACAGAAGATTACGTAAAAGAGTCTCTTATATAATGTGGTGATACCATAGTGATAATAAGAATTATAAAAGTGAAGATAATGGCTGAAGCGTTAAGGGGTTAATGAAATAATGAAAAACTAAATAGATGTTTAATTTTTGGATTTTTGATTGCCTCGTTTTCGAATTGTAGGTTAATTGGTCAGAAGAATTTAAACTAACGGTCCATGCAAGATCGATATATCCTTGTGAAGGATTGGGAGGTGTAGCCGTCCTTTTCGAATATCCTTCCTGCCGACTAGAAGGTGATCGTGTACGTGTTTATGGTCGTTTGAAAGCCGACGTTACCTCGGTTGCTTCACCTTCCAGTCTTCATTACATCACGGAATCCAGATCGATACCTGGCAAACACTCGTTAACTTTTGATTGCGACCTTTTTACGGAGAAATTTGTCGAATACTGTTTCGTCTATGTTAGTCAAGCTATCACGGGTGCCATGATGGACGTTACGATATCTTGCATACCAACGTTTCCTTTTCAAGGTAGACAATATTTTATAACAGATCGTGTTAAATCCATTTTTTTAAAATAGAAATTGATCAGACATTTTTTATGTTTTGAAGATTTAGTCGTAGCTTTGTTAAACTAATTTTCAATCGTATAGAAGGCGATATTGCTGGGTGGGGGCCATGGAGCTCTTGGAGTCCTTGCAGCAGCTCCTGTTTCGGAGGAATTCGAAATCGTTATCGTTTTTGCGATACCCCTCCTCCAAAGTATGGAGCAAAATTTTGCCAGGTATTTTATTCGATTATTCCCGTCGAACGGGCGAGACGAATACATTTAAGAGCCCACCTTAAATTCTAGGGCAAGGCGATAGAAACGGAATTTTGTGGGTATATGTTTTTGGAAGGCTATAGCAAAAATGTGTTGCACAATCGAATCGAAAGTTCCGAATGTCACGGTGCAGCTTTGGCCGCAACAAAACCAGAAGTCGCAGCTGAAATAGGGTCGCAATGTCGATGTGGATGTCGAATCATGCTGCAAGGAAAAGTCTCCAGAAAAATACTCGCAGCCAATACCCAAGCATGTCCTGGTCGATCATTTTGGCTCTTACAGGTAGCGATAAACAATTATTCATAATTTAAATTATAATTCTAACGCAACGTCGATGTAAATACAGTCCCATTGCTGTACTCATCGTATATTTAATTTGATTTATCCAGGCAAACACGAATTTCGTGATTGGATTGCACTTGGATCAATTACAATTTCCCTGCTTAGGGCAATACTTTCGTGTACGGGACGGAAATTCTTTAAACGCCGATCTCTTATCCGATATTTCTTCGGATAAAATACAATATACCGCGAGGACACTGATCAGCTCCAGGGAAAATTTACTATTGGAATTTTTTAGCGACGAACTCACGGCATCCGGAGATACTTGCATCGGTGGTTTTCTTGTTCACGCGGCTGTACTAGGTAAACATTTAATTCTACTTCAATTAAAATTTTATTTCATAGAAACCGTTGTGGTAGTAATGTATTTGCAAGTTTAATGTGATTCGATTACAGATAAAAAATATTTAGAAAGGAATGGAAGCGTAACCGTCGTGCCTTCTGACATAAATTCAACGAACATCGAGAAAGAATGGATATTTTGGAAACCGGCGCATTTAGTAACTGCCTTGCTTTTGATACTTATGTTTATCATTTCAATTTTCTTGACCTTGCAGTTCATCATAAAATACAGAAAGTACCGAGTCGCCGAGGATCTGGATACTTTCAATGACGTTTCCGGTAAAAATAAACAATCGTATCCTTTATTATTCGATTTAAAGTAGTCTATATATCTATTATAATAAACTGTTATTTGAAAATCTGTATTGTAATTAGAGTTAATGCCGGGAAGATTTCAATTTCTGTCTACAAGTACAATTATCTCTGACATGATATCGATGATAGAAGCAACTGTGAAAGATTCTACGAAAGAAACTTTGTGCAACAATGAAGAACAGTATGATAGTACCGATACATTAACCGGGTAAGAATGGTAATAAATATACTAATTTCAACGGGAGAAACTTAAAAATCTTACAGTAATAAAAAGGATACAAATTGTCCGTTTTAAAGAATAATTATTTCATTTATTATAGATACGATGCTGGCTCTACGCTGAGTTCCAGTACTTTAAAATTGAATAATACTACGGAGACGTTTTCGGACAATACTATGACATCAATGAAATCAAACTGTGATAAATTATTATTATCTTCCAGTATCCTCGTTTACAATAAGCCGGAAGTTAAATATGCCTATCCTGTAAAGTAAGTTCTCGATGTTTATTTAAAATATATACTATATCTTTTTATAAGACATTTTAATTTTATGAATCATTATCATTTGCCTGAAATTTCGTTTGAATATTTAAATGTATAAGTTTCACCTGGCGGTGTCTTATAAATTACTAGTAATATTGTTTATTATACAGATTGCGAAAAATAGATTCTACTAGCTCGGAAGAGAAGACATTAAATACAGAGAACGAGAAACTGCAAGATAACACGAGTAATAGTAGTTTAAAAATAGATCAGAACAATGAAAATAATTGTTCTGGGGAGAAGGTATGTATATATTTGTCAAATAAATTATTAAATGCTAATAAGTCTTCTTAAATGCTTAGGAATCTGTTCTCGAAAGCGTCCTTTCGAATGCCTCAAGTTTGGGGAGTGGAAAAGAAACGAAAGAAAGAAGAAATCGCGAGAAACTTCTGCAAGGACCAGGCTCGGAATTTAGTCTGGCGAATCCTGATTCGGAATTGGAATTAGATTACTATGATTATAACGTAGCAAACGCTAGTGCTGTCCCTGGGTCCTACTTGGGAATGGACCCTGCATTTTTAGTTTGGATTCCACCGGTCGAGGATTTCAAACTCGACACAGAGGAACTCTGTTTAGGGTAAATAACGATACTTATCGTTTAGAGATTCGATAGTAACATTACTGTTGCTGATTACATAAGTATTTATTTACAGAAGCAAAAGAAACTCTATTCTGACTCACGAAACCGAAGGAGCCACGTTAACACCTTCCGAATATAGACGAATGAAACTATCTAGTTTCCAAGATTTTAAATTCGAATTTGATCAAGGGTGAGTCGTGAAAATATATTTATTCCTATCAATAACATTGTCAAATTGATGTAAACAAATTAAAGGGAATGATAGGTGTAATAGTCGTAGAAACATTTAATTTATTTAACATTGCTGAACTTATTATTTGATAGAATTTATTTTAAATGCAAGTTAAAGCTGGCTGGCATAGCAACTGTACGAATGATCATTACTCACACACCTTTTATTGAAATCATTACAATTGGATGTTTTTAAACATTGTATCCACGCAATAAATGTAACTATTTTATGTTGATAGCGAGAAATATTTTAAGACAGAAGAAAAAAGCTGCCAAAATTTTGATTATGAAAATCTAATTTGTGATGAGGCTTCTGGGTATTCCAGAACGAGGACGTATGAAAAATTATTCCCTGTACAAAAACTTCTTGTAGATTCTAGTATTAAAGTAAGCATGGAGTCTGTGTCTGGCATTCTTGAACATAAACAATATTGCGTGTTTCCAAGCAGAAGGTGAGCTAATATTTATTTACACGATATCGAGGCAATGCCAACAATTCTGTACATATAGTAATATTTTTAAAAACGTATAATGGACGAAGGTAATTTTTATTATACAAACTGAACCACGTAATTTGATCTTGATTATTTCCGGTGTTGGGCGAAATTTTCAAATAACTAGTCAATTGAATAGTTTGGTTCCGAGGAGCCTATACATTTTGTTAAATTTTTCAAAATAATTCTCAACTTACAAATAAAATTTAGTGTTTTAAAAATTCCACATGCACTATCGTTTTCCCACTATTATGCACCAAATTTATATAGTTTAAAGAACACAATATTTTTTAACTTCATTATTAATTAATGCATCAAATTATACTAAGTTTGCTATGCTTCCTATTTATGTCACCAAACTATGTTCCGTTTCTTTTTTCTTACGCTATAAATGTTCAATTTATTTATAAATATAAGGGTAATATTTGTGTGTATCTGTACAACAAATGGTTGTTATATGCGAAAAGTTTTCTCCCGAAATTTAAAAACAAATTGTAGAACTCAATATGAAAAGGAACTTAATAATTATTTTAGGATTCAATTTTTTAAATGATTGTTTAGGTTTGCAGTATTAAAATGCATTTAACAATCACTCTGTTTACAGAGAATAAATTTTTCAACATTTCAATAATAAAGTACCATCCAATTTTTTCTAAATTATTTTCGTATTAAATTTTACGTTTTTTTTTTATAGAGTTCGTATAGGTAAAGAGGAAGAACCAAGCGAGGAGCCTAATCCTCCTAAAAGTATCCTTGGGAGTCCCATAAACATACTCCACAACGACGAGAATAATAAAGAAAAGTTGAATTCTGCTTCGAAGAAAGTTTTGCAAAAGGATTTTCTGAACGCAAAATACAGCTCCAGCCAGAAAATGCTTTTCAAAACTCACGACGAAGATATAACGAACGTGGAGTGCAAATATAAACAAATAATGGATTGCAACCAACCGTTCGAAAATAAAAAGGACGCAGTGAACATTCCCATGACAGAATTATCGGGGAGTCCTTTACAAAATTTTGCTCATGTCCGAAAATTAAATAATAAAGATGTTGACGCTTCTGTAAATATCCAAAGCCCAGATTATGGCATAGAAACACTTTGCATAAAGAAGGGATCTTTTTACGATCTAAACATTAGATTTGTTGACGACGACGATGAAGACTACGTCGATTAGAAATTATATGAGACTACCCTTTTCTACTTTTTTTATTACATTTCTATCTTAGCTGTAATTTTTACCCCTCAATTTACATTTTCTCCTATTGACTATTTTGATGCTATCGAAAATTAAATTATTCTATTAGAATGTATTAATTTCTCTTGTGATAAGGTAATAATTTTACAAGTTTCTTGAACGTAATAAATACTAATCGCCTTTGAATAATAAAATATAGATTCATAAAAAAACATGTATAAATAAATGCATCAAAGTATTCAATAATTATCATTTTGGGAGCTTCCTTCATTTTTTTTTTTTAATTGCTAATGTTTCAGAATATTTAAAAAAATTCTCAAATACTCAAATTTTAGACATATGTTAAAATATCGAGTCTATTTTCATTCGAAATATAAAATATAAAATAGAAGAGGAGGGGAGGGGAGAGTAAGGTCTAATATCTTAGAAATACAAATATTTTCTATTAAGCACGGAATTGATTGCAATAAAAAAAACTAGTCCTAGATATTTATAAATGAAAAATCGCTAATAACTCTATTGCGATTACAGTGCAATTGTATGTAGTTTTTTATAACTAATTATAATTACTGGAGTAGTATAAATTGACGCCATGAAGTTGCTATCAAAATTAATTGGTTTATACGATGAACAAAATTTCTAAAAATATATAACAATTTGAATTGTGATTGTAACCCACATTCGAATTACATCTCCATGTGATTATAATACTTTTAAGATTTCGTTGACAAAATTATCATAAAATATTTGTATGTAAAAGTACTTTACATATATGCTCATCTCTAGATTTTTGTATTTCTTTTTGTACTAAAATCAACTGTCATGTTGGATGGTACAATATAGACATTATGGCAAAAAATAATATATGCGGTATATAAAAAACTGTACATAATAAATATTATAATTCAAAATTATTACTAAATTTACTTAAGCATACAATTTACACAAAATTTGGATACTTTTTGTATAAATCAGGGTAATCATTTTGCAAATATTTTAATTGGCTGCCACACATAGTTTTCGAGGTATACTTATTTAAATGTTACATTAAGCTCTATATTGATTATTTTGCAAAATAAATAATATCTAAAAAAAGATACGAATCTGTATAAAAGTATTCGGTTCCAAAATAAAAGTTCAACAACACAGAGGACTGAAAAAATAGGTGATAATATTGCTTTTAACTAAAGTATCAAATAAAAAGTTTAAATAAATATATTTTAACAGAGCCAGTACTTCTAATTGTAATATATATTTATAAATCAATGCAAAAACATCTGTTCCAAATATAACAATAAATTTTAACACTGTATGACAATGTGTACAATACAATTGAACAAGTATATTTTTTAACGATTTCATAAAATTCGGTATTTTTATTTTATCAACTCATTATTAATTCCCCAGTGTTTAAAAATGTGGATAAATATTTACACTTTTCACAAATTGCAAAACACTGAAAAAAATGATTAGTTATAAGCAATCTATATCTGTATTATAAATTAGTTCGTTTGGATGTTGTATATCTGTACGCATGTATGTATGTACAAAATAAATTAAAAAACTACTGGGATCTTCCAGTTTATGTAGGAATTATTCAATCGTAGTAAAAAAATGAAGTTTATATTTTTATCTTATTTCATAATTTCTAACAAAATACTTAGAAAGACGAAAGAGTTTCTCTAAAACAAAATCAGCGATGATATGTCTCGAAAATTAATTGTTTATAAAAGAAGATATATGATTAGATATATAATATATTGTACATACATACACATTTTTTCCACGAATCTAAATATTCTAAATATTTTCTGATACTTGAAACAAAGACTACATTGAATTAAAAACTTGCACAAGAAAATACCACCCACATCATTATGTATATATGTTAATTTTATATAATATTAAGATACTATTGGGAGCTGAAGAGTTTGCCCTTGGAAGAAATACTGATCCCATTGATTAGAAAAATTGTCAGTTCATCGAAAATGAATTTGAACAAAACAAGTCATGATAAATCGCATAAGTCGAGAAGGTATCCTCTCCCCCCTCCCCTTTGAGCACAGGTTTCTTCAGCTACCAATAATACATAATATCTACATGTTTTCAACTAGTTCTAGAAAGCAGAATTTCGTAACTAAAATAAATAAATGTTAAAGGATCGACATATCGATATATTTGAATGTGCGATTAATTGAATCTTCAGCGTTTATCAAATGTATGTATGTGATAATTCAAGAAAATAATTCTATCGCTAAGGATATAACGTAGACGTACAATACTAAATATCTTATTTGTTTTTGACGATAAGAAAAAGTAGCAAAGAAAAACATTGCTTATCTGGCACGGGCAAATATTATCATAGGAAAGAAATTTTCTCCATGTCATAATATTTTCCCCCTTCAAGTAAATAGTGTTTTTCTTCCAAATTGTTTTCCATCGTCAAAAACAAATGAAATATTTAATAACTTAAGCGAAACATCCTGTAAAATGGCAGTGTTAAGGAAGCTGAAATAAATTATCCAACTTTCAAATAAAAAATGTACGTAATTCAATTCAATTGTTATACACAGATATTCTTAAAATTAAATAAACGTACAAGTTTTTCTTTTTATCGGCCCGATTTATATTATGTCTATAATTTTTTTTCTGGGCTATATTTAAAATGTATACTATTTTAACCGTCCTACTACGAAGAATCTTTCTAAAATGTAATTATATCGTTTTATGTTGATATCATACTATAAAATATATTTACACTTAAACGACGTATTCGTAATTGTTAGAAAATCGAACATCTACTATACAGTAGGTAATAAAAACTTACGTATAATTTATATAATTAATCACGAAACTATTATAATTACATGCTTGGTGTAATTTCGTTTATGATTTCGTTAATAATACAAAATATAATTCCTCGTAGTTTCTTTTACTACGACCTCGTCGAATAGGTCTTTTAATAACTTCTCATTCTAAACTCATACATTCTCAATTATTAATTTCTTTTTTATTATTACGATGTGTCTTTATACTTGTCTTTTTTATCAAATCCAAACTTCGAATCCTTTGTTTTAACATATACTTTGCTCGCTTGTTTCCATGACTTCAAAATTTCTTATTTGTCTATTTAATTTACACGTTCTTGTCTTTCTTTGCCCAATGAATCCAAACTTCGTATTTTCGTAAATTCGTCAATATTACGCTTATGTACGTCTCTGTTGCCTTGTTTTGACAAGGTCTTTAAAAAATCTCCTATTTATTTATTTAATTTACTTCTTTTCAATCTGTCTTTGACTTTTTTCCTATGTGTTTGTCTACTATTTTAACTTTCAGAAATTCCTACATTCCTTTTAAACATGCAACTTGTTGTTTCATCCCTTCCAATTTCCCATAATACTACGTTTTAATTTAATATCTTTCTTGTGCTCGGCCTATGCGTAGGTTGCATCGGAAAATTTTCTTATTATTAATGGTAAAATTGAATAAATGTTCGCTATGTTCTACGTTTTCAATTTATTTTTATACATTCCTGTAAAATTCAAATTATTATTTTCACTATTTCCCTCGTCAAGCATAAATTCGATACCCTCGATATTTTTTATTTCAGAAAGGAATAAGAAATAATTCATGTAAAATGAATCATTTATTGACTTCGAGAGCTAACGAAGTCTCTGGTTGCGTCCAAATATAACCGGTGCGCGTCATGCTGCAATGCGCATCGTAATATCTACCAGGGGCACGACAGTAGGACCATCGTGGACAACGACATCGAAATTTACTATGAAACTCTTCTTTGCAGACTTCGTTCCACCAACAAGTTCGCTACAACAAGAAACCTCGCGGTTAATCAATAGTTTCCGAACGCCTCGACGAATAAAAATTCACTTACCTCCGCCAAATAACCTCTTACACTCTGATCACTATAATTTCTTTTCTTAATAAGGTGTCCTGTACTTGTCGTGTGCACTTCTGCACACAAAAGTAACACCAATAACAAATGCAACGTCAACCCTTCCTGGAAAACAAGCAAGTAGGTCCAATTTTCTTCTTCGTTTGTATCACAGTCACTTTGGTATATTTTTTTTTTACAAAATTAAAGAAAAGATATGGGAAATATTAAAAGGAACATAGGGTGCAATAGATCGGTTGTTGTAATGCAACAGTGGGGTTTTCACGCGAGGAACTCCATTGTTTCGAAACTTACATTGTCGTGCATCTTTAACAGTTCTTTTTTTTACGAAAGCGTCTTATTATGCAGCCACTTCGAAGTATCACATAAAAGAAATAGTTAGAGAACCAGCTACATACTCCGTTTCCGTTACTGTACGCTTCGTGAATACTTGGAATAAAAGATTATGTGTGTACATGTGTACAGAACGTGGCGCAGGCGTATGTTGCTTCTCTCCGGCTATTATGAATCGATCGTCGATAAAATTTTTACTTTTGCAAGATAAAAGATAGATTTTTAATAGATTTTCTTCGCGTAGTTATTAACGAATTTAATGCAAGCTATCAAAGACTCGATTTTATTTTTTAAACGGAGAAATTACCAGTATGAATGTACAGAACTTCGCCTTCCGATGATCAGGAAGTAAATGGGGCAAATGAAATATATGAAAATATAATTAGTTTGGGATACATTATTATTTTAATATTGTTATGTCGTACTCGTTGATTTCGTTACATTTATGCGTAACTTCTGATATCTAGACTATAAACAATAGTATGTAGAACACTAGCCGCCATTTTGATGATCACCTTTGTAATTTTATTAACCCTTTGAGCTTAACTCAATGCCGTATTACATTTATTGTTATATCTATCTCCTCGTAATATTATAATGGAATGCAAACACGTCATAATTATTTCATCAATGTCTTTAATAAGATATAACTAAGCTTAAACTATTAATTCAAACGAAAATTGTCCCCCTCCGATCAGGAACACCCCTCAGACGAAGGATCAAATTACTTTACGTTCGCAAGAAAAACAATTAAATTAAAACAATTAAAATAAAACGATTAAATTAAAGAAAAACTATTAAATGTTCAAATTGGAAAAAATTTTACTGGGAGATTCTAAAGGTCAAAATAAGACGAAACTCAAGAATATCAATTTGTTGATTGAGGCTTCGTTAAACAGTTATTAAAAAATTAAATTCAAAAATTTCAAATCGTTCTGAAAAAATTATTTTCGGTTGTAGAGGTCAATTACAATCATTTTTGGTGAATACACGTACGAAATTCTACATACTTTCAAAAAAAAATTCTTTACCGAAAATATGCTGTGTGGCCGGAAATGTTTCCATAACTTTTTAACGAAGCCTCAATCAACAAATTAGTATCGTTGATTTTCGTCTTATTTTGGTCCCTAGAATTTCCCATTAAAATTTTTTCCCAAAGGTGGCCGATCACTCTGTATATGTACATATATTGCTGAATTGTTTTCTAACTTCAATTACGCAATCTCAGAATTCCGTAGTTTCCGCATTCCTTGTTATGTGTGGTATGTGATATCAAATGCTTTGTTTTGTTCATCTATCATTATTTAACGTACATATTCCACTAGTTAAATATTGTAAAACGATACACCTTGCGAGGAATAACAACAGATAGTAATTCTTATTGGCCACCTGACTAATGTCCTTCAACCAAATTGAAGTTGGTACGCCTGCACGAGATAATTCATACCTATATAGGTGTTCGCATCGATGCTTCGTAAGTTAAAGTTGGAGGCCGTGTAAACACTGTCGAGTTTATAAAGTGTCAACAGAACGTCCATGTAAATAGTGAAATTTGTGTAAATAATTTTTCTCAGTGTTGTACACGGTTTCGAGATATTTGATAAGTGTGCACCTTTTCTTGTGTGACATTTTTATCTAAACTATTCGATACACGTAGGATATAGTGCTACACGTGGACAATGCAGGTTAGAATTTAATAATAAATACAACAATTATTCATTATTATTTTGCTGACACAAATCACCCTTTTTTAGTTGACAGAACATTTATAAATCGTGTGTTTTAAATACATGTTTACATATTAATAGTCAGTATAATATTTTGAAACCAACCTAAATATAATTATTTCATTCGAAAGTTTCTCTCGTAGTTTTACGTAGAAGGAAATTATAAATTTTATAACTGAGCAGTTTATCTAATACGAATTTTCGTAATATAGTTTTTATTATGTTTACACTCTAATTGATATTTTTCAAGAGTATATAAAATCATTTTACTTCAACTTTAGCTATGGAATTGGGTTTATTATATTTCTATTGGCATTTGTTGATGATTACTGACAGATTACTTTGGCATATGTGTACAGCCATGCGCATCCTTTATAAGAACAATAAATTTGATATATATACAACAGAAATTTCTTCTTTATTAATTACTTTCATGATATTGATATTGGAGAATAAAGAAGAAATTAATTATTTGTTTATAATATACAGTGAACTGTACAAAACTAAGGATAAAAGTAATCAATGTTATGTCACATCCATACATAATGCGTTACATATATATGGACATGAAAAATTTAAGGTTGTATTACATTTATCAAGAACATTTAATTTCATTTATCCACTTGTATAATTCTGAAATTAATGCAAGAAGGAAATATCATTTTGTTGAATGTATGAAAATGTATATAAATCATTATTTATTAGTAGCTGTAATAGTATTCATACATGCAAACTATTTTACTCAAATTATATAAATTTTCATAAGGTAAACAAAGGGAGTATCTTAAGATAAATTCAATTATTTAATCTTTTGATACTATAAAATAGTATTAGGAAACAAGGTTAAATAGCTTAGAAGTTTATACAAATTTTGTTAGTGAAATTAAATTCATTCCTATGATGGAAGTTCTAAAGATATACCATGTATACAGTAGGTTAAAAAAAATATTTATATATTCTATATCTCGCAATAACGGCGGAGGGGGGAGGGGGCAAATACAATTTCACTAATGAGGGTGAAATTTTGGTAGGGTTGTTGAGGACCACTAAAAATGAGTATATAAGATTAATTTAAAAAAATGAAGTTTTTAGATTATAACGTTGAATCGGTTTCGCGTTTGGGGATATCGTTAGATATCGAAAATTTTAATTAATATATTATAAGGGGTTGGGATCTTTCTTTTTTTAGGAATATAGAAGTTACTTTTCATTTCTGCTTGACAATGACAATACCCAAAATCTTGATTCTACATTGAAAATTATGCAGTGGTTCATCGACCATCGCATTTGCTGCGGAACCTGAGGTCGTGGGATCGATTCCGTCCAACCACGTATACTTTTTTCTTGTTTTTCTTTTTGACACTTTGCCAACCGAGCAGTACATTTATATGTATATAATCGAAAATACTATTTAAATTTCTTGAGCAATAAATTGAATGACTCGTTACAAAAAGCTCTAATTAAGGTTTTAATTAACGAATGATTTCTCCGAAAAATGGACAGATTACACATCGTCTGATCACTCTCTGGAGTCGAATCCAAAACATTTATTTATTCCCTGCCCATTGCCAATATTAAAATACTTCGTTAACGAGTAATACGGGGTCTGACTAATTCGACATGCCTGGAATTTTTGAAAGATTGAGAAACTCTATGACATGACTATTGCAGGCTTTTGTACATGCAGGTGGCCATTTCGAGGACGTCCCATAAAGGTAAGCAGTTACCTAGTGGAGCACAAAAATGGCTACAAGTTGGAAACGAGTCAAATATGGCGCACAAACTTTCTTCGTTGGTTTTATGTCCCTTTGTTTGTACCACTGAAGCAGGTATCATTTCTTTTCCCCCATATTCTAACCGGAAAACATTGTGGTAATACAGTCTCGATTATCCGGACCTAATAGAGACGAAGGTTGGCCTCATAATTGAGAGACTAACCAAAAAATAATAAAAAACAAAGGACTAAATCTCAAAAAATCTTTAAAAAACTTCTACCCATAATAAAATTATTACTAGCATCTTGTAGTGCCCTCTAAACCATAACTCGTTACGAATATAACTCCTTATCGTGGCAATTGATCCTAAGAGCTTAGGACGAAATCCAAATTTAAGGAAAGTGGTCTTCCATGATTTTTATTTCGAGTCAATGATACAATAAATTTACTATTTTCTAACTACAACACAGCAATTGTTTATCATTAAATACCCGAACGCTTTAGTGACTGAAAAATTCGTCAAAAATAATTCGACTAGCTTGAAGTTAAATCATAATTTGGATTCTTGTTTGATGAAAAGTTATTATTAAGGAAAACCATACAAATGTATTCTGTTCATTCTTGTATACATACAGTTTATATTAAACGAAATATATTGTTATACCTACATTTTCTAAGCGTGCTATCATTTTGTCTGTGCCCATTCATACGTTTACATTTCGTCTGGGAGAATCGACCGTAAACCAAAGGTAAGTTTGCGAATCTGCACAAGGCATACGTTGCATACATTTAAAAATCGTTACGTTATCTAAATTATCGCGCGAGAAATTGAAGATAGCACGCGTGGGCTATTTTTTCGTCTGGGGCGAACGAGAGATCATAAATTAGAAGCTTAGCTCGATTACGCTGTGACCTACTCTGCTTTTCGTCGCGCACTTTCTATTGTATTTCTTTTTGCATTTCCCTTTCTTTAACCTAACACACAACCTCCATGTTATCATGAATTTTCTGGCCCTAAGTTTTCCAAATTCATAGAATCCACTATAAGCTTATCTCGCGGGCAGACTGCGGATTTGTTTATGCAAATACATGCATTAGTATATTTGTTAAAAACAAAGAGTGATAGTCTAAAACGGGAACGATAATTTTACATTGATATAATGTTTATGAATGCAAACGCAACGAAAACTATTTTACAGGATAATCCAAATGTACCTATTTGACGAATCTTTATCAAATTATTCGAAAATGAAGCTTCGTGCGAATAAAAGTTATTTTCGACTTATGTTTTTATATAGATTAACCCCTGTTCGGGTTGTACCGTCGGTTCGAAAACAGTATCTATCTAATAGTATTCTCTAATAGTAGAATTTTTGAAGTATGAACGTCATTCGGAGAATCTAGGAAGGATCATCGACATCATAATGCGCATGGATTAAAATGAAATCATCATGAAGCACGGCTGGGATTTGCTTGTATCCGTATAAGCTGCATTTTAGAACGAGGGAGTGTTATTTCGACGAGGATCATGGTTTTGGAAATCAATATTGTATCATAGTCCTGTGAACATCGTTATACTAACAGGTAGGCAGAATGCCACTAACAAGGAAAAGACATGGACTGTTCGTTCGTTGAACTACATAAATAAAATTTTATTTACATTTTTACCCATACTGTAGTGATTCCACCATGATGGGTGCGATACCACTCTTTTTTTAATACAAGCTTTTCTTACTATCTCACGATTTTTACGCAAAGTAGTGTCCTAATCTTTTGAATCAAATTTACATCAATATTTGTAAAACAATCGAATGACAAGGAATGTTTATTTGTGTCTTTAACTATAAGTAATATAGTTCGCTACTATATCGGATGGAACATTCTTCGGATGAAGAAATTATCTTATCGGACAAATACATTTATCCGTTGCCCTTCGAAGATAGATAAATCAATTGCTCTAACCTTCAGCTCGCGGGTAGAAATAAAGCATTTTTTTTTCTGTAACTAGTTGCTTTAGTAATTTGTTATCCAAATAGTGCTCATCTTCGATCGCGCATAAAGATCCAACGCACGTCTATATCAGGTTGCCTGTTTGTAGGAGCTTACGGATGGTAAATTTTACAAAATTTTATACTCTACGTAAACTCGAGAATTTATTTTTCACTTTTCTTTCCAATAATTTTCTTAATTCAGTCGACATTCCTTATTTATTTATTTTTTTTCACAACCAGATTGTAGTGCAAAAACATCGTTATACAAATAATATGATCACGTATAAAGGAACCTAAATAGATAAGATTAAAATATGTATTTTGAAATGATTTTTTTTATCGAATAATTTTCAGTCCTAACGTAAAACACTAAAGACTAACTCAAGCATGAATTCAACTTCATATTTAATTGTTTTCATGTGTGTGTAACCCGGATCTATCAAATATTATTGTAAGTTTATAACTTATTTGTAAGCCTAGGTGTAGCAAATAATTTCCATCTGAAACACGTATACTGTGCACGATTTATCATTTTACAAAGTAAATTTAATATTTTGCTCTTTTAATTGAAGTGTATCATCGCTACAGTTGCAATTTAATTGTTTCCCTGTAAAAAAAACTGCAAGTTCGTTCGGTATCAGAGTTAATTTAACATTGTATTGTTTTAATTAACGCGTGTTGTTGCTACAGTTGCAACATAATTATTTCGCCGGACCCGTTATAAGAATTTTTCGTAATGTTTGCGCGTAGAAAATTGTGGGTTCGTTCGGTTTCAGAGCTCTTACTATTCATCTTAGTGGTGGTATTGGAACGTTTATACGTAAATTGTACCACACGTGTCGAATCCTTTCGTTGATGGGTTTGGGGAGGGGGTAACAGGGTGGGTAGAACATTTAATTCGAGCTTGCGAGGGAAGTCGTTGATTGAAGACGAGGTATGCCAGTTGTGGTTCAACGCTGTTACGCGTTGGACTGCTTAATAGTTTTCGAGCGATGTGTTGCAAGTATTAATACAAGGAAGACCATAATATTCAAAAAATTTATCGTTGGAATATTATTGTCGTTATGTTTCGTTCACGGTAATTTAGAATTCTTTTGTTCCCGATCGAAGTCCGCTCTGTTGTGTTAAAATTTAGCTAATGAATCCACTGTAAAGATTAAATGGATCTTTTTGAATGGAACGATGAGTCGGCCTCGACTCCTTTTCCCTCAAGTTTCGAGGTCAAAGTTACGCACTATAATATTCGAAACAGTGATGTGAATAAGGTGTGCAACTTTTACAGGTGTTCAGTGGTTTTGCGTTCGTGTGAAAATTAATACTCACAGATTTTTTTAATTATCACTTTCGAGGCCACTAGCAAACACTCCTCGCGTAAGTTTAACATAATTTCTCATTACCATTATTTAAATGCTTTAAACGCTCGGTTTTGTTCTATACTCTACAACGAAAATTGTAGCAAATTAAATCCGAATTTATAAAATGTTTTTAACATTTTCTTTCGACATTCGAATATCACATATAACCAAGTATTTCTATAAGATAACTTATTTATTTTTTAAATCATACTTTGTTAACTGATAAGGTCAATGATATGGATTCTTTGTCAATATTCTTTATCTTCTTATCGAATAGAAACGTGAAGATTCATGTTTTTGAATTTATAATTGTTTCTATAATATTACAAATAAAATTTGCCCCATGTTTAAATAATCTGCACAATTTCTCTTTATACTTTTTAATATGCAAAATATATAACAAGTGTAAACAAATTTAAATTATTTGTTGGGGAAGATGATTTCGCTTATAATTTGTTATTGTTCTTTGTTTTACAAGCTTACAATTTATTCCTTCTTATAACGAATGCTCACCTATGCTTGTTTAGAACACGAAATAATTTTCATTTGTTTACTAGTCATATACTTGTTTAGCTTGATGAATAAATAATGATGATCGATAAAAAATATTATGAATACTATTCAAAGTGATTTAGAAACTACCAACGACATATTTTGTACATTTTCCTTTAATTGTCCCATAATTGTAGTTTGTTAAAATATAGTTATCTTCCCCTCTGAATATGCGGACGTGCTATCATGCTTCTCCATCAAGTATCATTAATCGAGGTTTTTAAAACCTCGACCTAATTAACAGGAGCATTACATATTGGTTCATGCATCAATTTCATATTATATGCGATATTAGTGCAACGTATCCTACATAATTAATAAAAGAGTAAAAGCTTATAACTAAGAAAGTTTAAGTTTTTCATTCTTTACAAACGGAAAAGTTTCTTATATTTCTATTTAAGTATTTGAAATAACTTTAAATAGTTCCCTGGTCTGTTAACAAACTTTCTTAAATTTACTTCGAACAAAGAATAATGAGTATTATTTTTAAAAATTAATTTTTATATGCTAATCATTATGTACATATGTATGTGATCGGCTACAAGTGTCAACAAATTCAAATGGAGATTTTACGTGCTAAAACGAGACGAAAATTAAGAATAACTAAATTGAATTTAAGCGTAATTAGCAAGCTAATACTCGAGAGATAACCAATCGATACTCTTATACTTTTTAAAACAATAACTTTACATCGGTGATTTTATTGCAGTAGCAAAGAAAAACAAATTAAAGTATTTTTTAAAATAAATATAAAAGATAAAATGAAATTAAATAATATTCTAATATCACGTACCACCTAAATTTGTTCTAGAAACTTGAACAAACTCTTTTCCTAAACAAAGATACAAAAAATTCTTAGAAGTAAAGTTGAGTCTCCTATTATCGTCTAACGAAATTATTCTTTTGTTTGGTGCAACGATGCATATGCACTTGCACTTCTTTGTAAATAGAACAGCATACGAGGTATAGAATACACGTTGTAAGCAATGTTTTTTTTCCGCGTGACGCAGATTAGGGATCACGACACCCCTTAACATATTTCCGTGTCACTTTCAACGTTATCGGACTACACTGGAACACAATTTTAGCACTCTTAGCAATTCAAGTTGAGACTAAATGTTATTAGAAATAATTATTATATTTACAACTTATAAGCACTTTGTTTAAAATGTTTGCAATTGTTCTCGTCGTATTGTTACGCTGTAACAAATGATTATTTTTTTTCACAATTTCTACGATGTCGTAAATCAACTTGGTCTCGACTCAAGTTACGTTTTACAGTCTTCCGGTTTTACGATATTTAAATACCTTTAGCGATAAGTACGTCGAATTAACAGCTACATCTTTCACAATATTTTCAGGAAGAAAGTAAACACTTTAAAATATATTATTTACGTTAGAAATGTTTTTTTGTAGAGATCAACAGAACAATTGACTCATTGCAGTACGGCAACGTTAGAAGAGATCCTGGATAATACAGACGGAATAAAAAAGCGTACCGTTTCTGAAAAGATCATGAGTATCTGTAAAACTGCCATACGTTGGGTGCTCCTGTTGGATATTTTACTTGCCCTATCAGGTTTGAGTTTTTCTTTCTTTTACTTATTTTTCTCTTAATAGTTTTGTTTTTTTTAATAATTAGTTCGGCGTTTTGGATTTGTTAACAAATATGTTTCCAAGTTTAGTGAATAAGTATTCTGTTTGACTCGTTACGTTCGCAGAGGGTTAAACCAAACACGTGGACGCGAATCTAATTATGGGAACGATTGACTGTCGCGAATAAAAACAATCTAAGTGCGAAACGACGCAAATCAGGAGACCGTATGCCAAGTTATGGCTGTATATCAAATCAAACATATTACTGGTCATTATCTGCCAACGAAAGATTGGTGCCTGTTGTTTAATAATGTTTACTTTATATTTACACCGATTAAATTTACACGTGTCGCTGACAGATGTGAGGAAGTGTCGGCTCGTTAATTAGAACGTCAGTTACTACATTAGGAGATAAAACACACAGTTAGAAGCGTACATAGTTTACTATAATATTTCCAGACAACGTCAATGATCTCTGAAATGATGTAATTTTTACATAGAACAGGAATATGAATTTGTTTTACGTACAGTGATTAACTGTGATATATTCCTTTATATTCTATATTGTTGTTAATGTTTTTAATTTACGAATGAAACGCGAACGGAAATTAGTTCACGAACGGATTTAAAATTTTTATTCGTTATTTGTGAATAAAATATTTGGTCAAATCTGACTCAAAAGTCCGGTTGTTTATATTTATTTGTACGCGTGTTTGGATCATTCGACAGCTGTACCTGGACAGTTCTACGCTAGAAACGTAACGATGCATGCAATGAGAGTTGACTGGAAAACCGCGAACTGTGTAACACAATACCACACGAGACCACAGTCTGTTTAGAATTTTTCTTGAGCGTGTCGCAACTGAACAACTAAGTACATATGCACGCGGTGAAACGTCAATGAACTGTGTTAGAAGAAAATAAATTAAGAGATTGTAAAATTATGATCGACCGATTGTTAAATTCCCAAAGGCACGAAGAAAATACGTAACGAAAAGAGGAGAGGGAGATTTAACCCTTTAATGAATTCTGTTAAATCCCTCGCCAACTTCTCCGCCCCATCCAGGTGTTCATTGCCCAAATGCGTCTTTTTCTCATTATGCTATCCTAAATACGTACGAGACGGGCCTGGAACCATTTCAAAGCCCAAATTAACGATTTAACGTTTGGTTCATTTCTGTCGACCCCTTTTACAATTTATACAATAACGAATCAAAAATCTTTATATCAAAGTGTTGAACGTAATAAAATAATTTTGAGATTTAATTTAATTTAATTTAAATTTTACACCAGAAATACATTTTTATTTATCTCGGTGACTTGCAATTCTCGGGCATAATACTATGGTTCGAATATCCGCGTTTGTTCTTGTAAACTTAAATGTACCGTGATAATTTATTTAATGACCACTTTCTAGAATTTTTGCGTTTTTATCGCGAAACCATTGAAAGTTACATTCATTTCGCTAAATTTATTAAATGCAAAATTTGCATAGATGTACGTTACTCAATATCAACTTATTAGCTTGCACAAAATTTGCTACGGGCCAAACACCAAACAATCGATGCTGTTACAAAATTAAAAAAAGGAAAAAAATTTGCTGCAGTAATGACAAAAATACTAAGAATGAAATCGTTTGTATACATGTGTATTTCGTTTCTGTAATCTAGTTCGAGTTCTATACAGAGAAAAGAATTCGCTTTTTATCGCGATTTATATCATCGGGAAATTAGCCTTATCGCGTATAGTATTTACGCGAGCGTTCAAACTCGAATGGCTTGATTATTGCCTTGTGTGTGAAATTCGTTGTACTGTCCGTGATTTCAACTTGAGTTGGTGTTTACACGTAAATTGCTCACATTTTCATAATTTCCTACCCCGCTTCCCTCCACTCAGATCGTTCTTTCAAATTCACCCATCCTCCTTAAGCTGTCATGCTCGGTTACATTGCTATTCTTCTTCTTCTCGTGTCGCTCGCATGTACGCGCGAGAAAAATTTGCATATCATGGACAAGAATGATAACGCGCGCAAAGAAAACGCAACATCGAATTGGAAAACTTATAAAGTGATTAATCAACGTAGCGTTTATAGTGTCCGTAAGTACCATCATTTGCAAACATTATACGCGCCATTTAACCGCGATAGTTTTGCGCCTAAATTTTGGGATTTGCTCAAATGGATCAGTGTATTTTTCTCCGGTTGTAAAAATGAGGTTGTTTCAATGGGGGTGAATTTTATCCATTAATTAGACCATTTTTGGCTTTATCTTTGAATCTCGTCACGCAACTTATTTGGTTCGTATGACTTGCAAAATGTTTAATTTTTACTTCCATTACCTAATTCTTTTATTATTATTTTTGCTTTCCCGCGAATGTCGGGCTGCTTTTAACAGTTTTGTTAAAGATTATGTTCTTAGCTACAGACATTTTTGTTATATGAACAATTTATTTAGCGTTGCTATTAATTACAAATTTTGATAGAATTTAATAATGTTCGAAATGTATAAATGGTATATAATTCAATTAAAAGTTACAACTAAGTATACTTTCATGGTTTAAATTGCAATAAATTTTAAATTAGTATTTTTAAGAGATAAGTACCTGAATATTTTTAAAGCATCTAAAAGTATCAATTAGAGTTGAATGATTTGGTTGCAGTAATGTAGAAAAAAGCATAAAACTAAAATTAAAACACGAAAATTGTAAAAACTGATCATTTTTGGCATGTCAGACCGAGAAAATGTGAATGTTATGGGGTTGAAAAAATCAATGGGTGTCAAGTTTCCACCATATATCCCGAATCGAAAGTCAGTAATAAGCAAATATTGAAAATCACACTTTTATGCGTCGTAAACGGTCGCTATTTTTGGCTCCTTTGTTGCAATATGAGTTCACTTATCTCAATTCTTCTGGATTTGTTTTCTTATCTGATATTATCCCATTTATCTACTTGTCTTATTTATTTTTTTAAGTACTTTCACCTTCCCAACTTCGACATTGAAACGTTTTCTTTTCGAGCATAGCATATCACGTCCATTTGAACGGCAATAATTATTATTTTGTCGGCAAGTTATTATTTGTTCTCCGTTCTAAGGAAAAATGTAGATTACCAACTAAAGAAATATTTTCGCAAATCATGTTAAATAACCGCTGCAAAGTTTAGTTTGGAAAAGTCCTCGAAAGAACTATCGTAACTTAAATATTTTTAAATAAAAAGAAATACAATCAGTAGTACAAAGTCTACTCTTTCGGATAAAGGTACATTGACTGAAAAAGGTCTGAAAAATTTTGAGAGAAAAATTCCCAAAGGGCATCATTTTGTAAACTCCTAACCGAGTATGACTCCTTAATAAGTTTTGTAAACCAATATTCGAATTAGCAAAGCTGTGAATATGAATTTATTCGTTAATCGAGAATAAAACTTGCTCAACTCTAATCCCTGGATGACCTGTACCACGTCCCCAAAATCTAAGCGACTCTGCCAACGCCATAATCATGACCAGGCTTGACTAGAGCGACCGCCAGACGTCGCGTTCCCATAAAACGTTTCTTCCATGCAACGGTACGAGACCGTGTACATAAAATGGCCGTCGCGACCACGAGGAATCCTTCCTTCGATACATGACTCTTATAATATACCTAACTACCCATAGAAAATGGTTGGTTGGACGTTAATGCGTCCCACGTATCTCCATTTTCTATTCGTTCATCGCGAATCCTCCCGCTAATTGCGACCTTCTTAGAAAGTCGTGAAGTCCTGACTCCAGAGCCCCCATCGCAAGCAATTATAGCGAATCAGAAAATTATTGGCACATTAAAATTCATTTTATACCCACATCGATCTCAGCTAAACTCAGACATTATCGACAATATATTAATTATAAATAGTAAGACAATTATAGACGACGATAAGCGACAATTATAGGCATTCAAAATTAATAAATGAATTATTATTAATTTACTATTAATACCAAATCGATATACATATTACAACCGATACATAACCGCTTTAGAACCGATATAATATCGAAGAAGTGCCATTTTCTTGCAATGTGCGCCGTGTGCTTGGGATCATTATGTTAATACTGACTCACACATTTGTGTATTTAATTATATTATCGTCTGTTTCAGTAATCGTACTTCTGGCAGTGTTGGAATTTGGAACTATTCCGCAACAGCGAATCGGCTTTTACTGCAATGACCCGACAATTTCGTTTAGGTTTCTGGGAGATACAATTTCTATTACACTATTGATTAACGGTTGCCTCCTAACGCCAATTATTGTGGTACGTGAAGAATAAATATGTAATGTTTTACATACGTTATTATCCACTAAATGACAAAATGTTTCTACGATCTTTTACCAAAATTTTTTTATAGTCTTTTGAAATGTTTGACATGATTCCAATCATTCTACTAATACCAAAAAAATAATATTTCCTATTTGCTCTCTATGACTTTGACTCTTAAAGAAGTATCCAAACTTACGAGAAAAAGAATTATTTAGATAGAAAATAGTCTACGTCTCACTTTGCAAGCGAATGATATTATCAAACTTATATTAATTTTCGAACACGATAGTTTTAATGTCTTTCGTTTTACGAATGCTTTGCTTCGCACGTTTTTAGATGTGGCTAGCCGAATATGCGTGTCATCCTGTTGATAGCTATAGTATAGCTTCAGGATACGCTGGTTCGAGAACGAAACAAGTGTGGCTGTGGTATGGCCACTATTTAGTTGGAATAATTACTTTGACGTTTATATGCGATGTGATGAAAACTCTAATCGGCGAACCAAGGCCGCATTTTTTGGATACGTGTAAGCCACGCGAAGCAACCAATTGCACCGACGAGTAAGCCAATTGTCATTTCTATTTTTTTTTTAGACTCGATCATCTTTCATTTTTACATTATTTTTTTTATTATACAAAACATCTCACGTATTCAAATGTTTATAATAGAAGATGGAACAAAATATAATAAGACTTGTTTGTTCTATTTCTGCACACTAATACGTAAAACTATAAAAATCAGTGACTCTAACTAACCAAAATAAAACTCTGTAAACGTATACTAAATCAAAAAGGCTCTATTCATTGTACAAAATTCATTGGTCTCATTGGTTTTTGTTCGAGCAAACTTTAAGCGAATAATTTTATATTTTATTTCAGATACGTAGAAGCATATACATGCACGAATACAAATTATACACACTGGTTTGTCTCAGACTCTAGTAAATCGTTTCCGTCTGGGCATTCTGCTCTTTCCATGTATGCATCTGTTTTTATAATGGTAAGGATAAGTATGGATACAGATTGTTATCGTGTGAGACTTTTTCTCAGCACTTTTCTCAGTTTTATCCCGCAAGCTAACCACTTTGAAAATTCCTTTTTAGGAATATTATTAAATAATTGTTCGTTTTTTTGTTATAGTGGTACTTACAAAACCGTTTGCCAAATCGGACATTTCTTATAAAACCGTGGCTACAATGCGTAGTATGTTTGTGGACTGTAGTATGTTCACTGACCAGAATCAGTGATCACAGGCACCATTGGTGGGATGTACTCGCTGGCATAATTTTGGGCTTCGCCTTCAGTGTACTAACCGTTACAGTGTCATGTCGTGCGTTTCGTTTGAATCGGATCGACACGCGCGTCTATAGTGAGGGTATAGAGAACGGGCAAATGAATTTCAACAGTAAAAAATACCACAGCGTCAAGAAACTCCTGCACGAAACGACTGTTGACCTTCACGAAGGTCGTGAATCGAAAAGTGCATCGTCAAATTGGAAAGAATGACTAATGCTGTGAAATTTCGTGATAGTCGAAAGCTCAAAAAACAAATTTAAAGCCGCTCAAACGTTTATTTTATAAATTTCTTCGACAAAACGATGAATTGTATTTGCATTAAACCAATAAATTTTATTTATTTACGTCATCAACCCAATAGAAAGGATCGAACGAAAAAGAATTTAATTTCAAAGTTAAAATGTAGATGTTTAAAACCTTTCTTGAACTTTTAAATCGTAATGTTAGTTGCGCATTAGTGAAATGTAATAAGTTTAATAAAAAAATTTTTTTTAAATGTCGAAAATCGTGGATTAATCGAAACGAAACGTAGCGATAGAATAGCTTTGTTTTTTGAGGCTTTTGATTGTGATTAATACGCTTCTAACGAAGGGATTACAGTTTGTTAGCGATGGTATTAAAAACCTTTAGTGAAATGTAGAGGATAATATTAAAACCCGAGAAATGTAAACGTATAATATTAAGAACCATTTTTATCCGAACGAGCAAAACTCTGTACGTAACAATGAAGCGGTATTTTTAATTAAGCAAAATTCAATCCTACAGTTTTTCCAAACCATATTAATTTATAATCTTATATAACAGGATAGAAATGTGCAGCAAGATTGGTGAAGAAAAGGTCAAATCTAGCCATTTTCTTTTGTATCGATTGTAGTTTGAGCGTTTAGGCTAATACCGGCGATCTATTGTAGAGTGAAAAAAAGATCAGTTTTGTAAAAGATCGCGAATTTTGCAAGTAAGCAATTAATCGACACAATCAGTATTTCCCTTACTTATAGTGCTACGTTCCCTGTAATCCCGAGATTGATCTTTGTTATTCCATGATAGGACGCTATTTTTGAAAATTGGCGCACCATACAAAGAGTCTGCGAGCCGTTTCTTCCTTAATTATACGGAGAAGCAAGAGAATAATAAGTAGCACATTAGTCCATTTAAGTTAATTAAGCAACTAAATAAATTCCAACAGTGCATAGAACATTATTTTTGTTCCAGTATCTTTAATCTTAGTGTAATTAGTTTATTAGTTTCTTGAATAAATAATTAATTCATTCGTTTAAAAATAGGACGTAAGAAGCAGTCGAATGAAAAATTGTTCGTGATTACTAGCGTCCCCCTTTTCGTATTTCTAGATTACTTACGATTTATAATACATTCCACAATTATTATCCTTTACTTAATTTAATTACAACTGTCGTGCGAACATGTAAATTGTCGTTACGTTGAATATAAGGAAAACAAGAAATGTAAATAATATAATCTATTATTTAATGAAGTAATAATTGCAGATAGTGATCTATTGCTGTAAATATATAATAATTTTGAAATGTTGTCTACAAAAATAAATTTCAGATAAACTTTTTTTTGACACGCCTTGCAGAAATACTTTCCATTTTCTTTAGGCAGCATTAGTTAAATGAACTAGTAAATTATCTACATTGTGCGACTATTCGTATATTATCTATTTTCTTTGTATACTTTTATTTATTGTAATCGGAAATATACCAATATTTTTTACAAATAACATTACTTTCTTTTTACAAATACTACACCTTCGTTTGATTCATACCCTGTAAAATATATTCTAAACAGGAGTAGAGGACTAAGCTTGACTGGTAAACTGGAACATTGAAAGTTCTTTTAATTTACGCGCCTTTATAGATTCTCCAAAATAATACAATGGTTGCCAACACTTCGGAATCAATCACTAAACCTTGGAGTAATCCCCTAGAGCATCTCTTCCGGCCAGAGATGCCAGAAAAGCACCGCCGGGTGCACACGCACACATGCCAGATACGCGTACGTGAGCTCGTGGAGTTTCGGAAAGTCGACAAAAGCAAACTGACGCATTCCCTCTTTCTCGATTCTCCGAAGCTGCCCGAAGTAATTTCGGATCGCCTCGTGGGAGTCGAGAGAGAAAGGCTCTCATTTGCCTTCTCGCTCTAAACAACTGAAATCCGACCTCCCGTCAACGGCATACGATTTGGATTCTCGAGCCGAGATTCTCGACTGCCCAGGCATTTTTACTTTCCGACCTATGTAGGCGCACATAAGCAAAGTACCCATAATGAAAAAAAAATTTTGTAAAATTTATTTTACGGAAATACACGTTTTAAGACCTCCTGATCATATTTTAATTATTGAAAAAAAAAGACATTTTTTTTTATTCCCATGTATGAGCACACATATGTATATGTATTATTAATACGATTGAATATAAATAGCTGAATGAATTTAAATGAAACTTTACATTTAAGTTTTATGTTCTCATTTCAAAGGCGTGTGGACGGATTCAAATACGTGAACACTAAACGTAACGATGTAATTATATTATTTAATATTTACTAACTATTTAACATAAAGAACATAAAAGAAAGACATAAAACGTAAACGTAAAACTGTGATTGCTCTCGACTAACGTTCGATACAGAGTGACGTTCCTGCAGTCAAAGTCGACCCTTCCTTATTCCTATCTTATAATAATGATCTAAACAAAACGCACGTTCGAGACGCAGTCTCTAAAACGTATTTCAGCTTAAACCTAAACACCTCACTCGATACCTACTCTAGCTTAGACTAAACACTCCTATCGACGCAAACGATAACGGTTCTCCTAGCCACACACATACACTCCTTACAGATTATACCTCTTGTTTCATAGTTGTTCCGATATATAGGCATAATGTATAAAAAATCTTTTAAATGTTTCATATAAATCTTAGGACGAATTAAATTTTATATGAAAAAAATTATATAAACTTTTTCTCTATCTTCTCTAGAAAAGAAAACATTAAATGAAATCTTATACATTACATGCTTACTTAAATCGCATTGAAAACGAATACCACAAATGTTTTAGAATAATGTGCAAAATGTGATTGCGATTTTCGCTAAGACAAATTGAAAACTCGTTTCTAACAAGGAAAAATTGGAATGGTACCAGGTTTTGGGTTAGGTTTTACTTTGAGATATTATTAAAGTTATTACAGGTACTTATTTTCAGAAATAGAACTATGTTCACCACTGATCAGCGTGGCGTGAGTGATGAGGTCTTTGCCTGCAAGTTCCGAACTTCTTCTGCTCTGCAGGTTCAAACCCTGCCAAAACAAATCCTTTTTTTTTATTTTTTCAATCATATTGTTGCGCCGGGACGAGGTGTTTCGCGCACAACTCATATTAACACGGAACAGACTCGTACACTAAATGTGACATTATATTTTTGTCTGACCTTCGAATATTTTTTTTTAAAGTTAAATTTAACCGAATACATTTAACATATGTTATTTTCAATGTACGAAGTACATGAATCTGGATGGTACTTTTCACAAAAACAGTCAAAACATAAAAATTTCAAGCACCACGTACATTTACTGAAAGTTTTGTTTTCACAGAAATTACAAAATTTTGTATTTAACTCTGATGTAAAGGCCGCTTCATTTACATTGATAAAATGTGAACGATTTTCGGATAGTCGTACCTTGCAGCTCGTACTTTTTACCTTATACTTCAGGTAAAAAGGGATATAGCTGGGAAAAACAGTTTTATGACATTACCTGCTAACTTATGTTACTGTTCTACAATGAAACGCTATATTTTGTACCTTTAAAAATATTCGACTATGTCCTTTTAAAATTTAAGATACAACCCATACTTTGTATTAAACTGGCAAACGGGATCACTTTTCCTTTGTTTCTAGTTAGTTCTATTTAGTTCGTCATAACCAATTGATACAGTTATTTCAAAACAATCGAGGAAAATCATTATTAATTAATTTCTGCAATTATTAATTCTACTGTTTTGTTTATGTTATAAAAGTAAGTACTCTTCTTATTGAAAAATACCACAGCGTGCACAATACTGGTAAAGAGGGGAATCTCATTTTAATTTATTAATTTTCAATCTTAAAGTATTTTGATTTTCAAAAATCGTATTAATAATATACATATGTGTGCTCATACATGGGAATAAAAAAAAATGTCTTTTTTTTCAATAATTAAAATATGATCAGGAGGTCTTAAAACGTGTATTTCCGTAAAATAAATTTTACAAAATTTTTTTTTCATTATGGGTACTTTGCTTATGTGCGCCTACATAGGTCGGAAAGTAAAAATGCCTGGGCAGTCGAGAATCTCGGCTCGAGAATCCAAATCGTATGCCGTTGACGGGAGGTCGGATTTCAGTTGTTTAGAGCGAGAAGGCAAATGTGAGCCTTTCTCTCTCGACTCCCACGAGGCGATCCGAAATTACTTCGGGCAGCTTCGGAGAATCGAGAAAGAGGGAATGCGTCAGTTTGCCTTTGTCGACTTTCCGAAACTCCACGAGCTCACGTACGCGTATCTGGCATGTGTGCGTGTGCACCCGGCGGTGCTTTTCTGGCATCTCTGCTTCCGGCTTATAGGCCAGAATCGACTTATAAATCGATAACCAACTCAAAATGGATAATCGATTAACTAGAAAATCGATTCAAAATTAGATATCCCTATTATAAGAATCACCTGTGCCTGATAAGATAAACTGATGGATTAATTATTTAATATGATCAAAATAATGTTACAATTCAATCGCGTACAATAGAAGATATGATTTTTTTTAACGAGAATTATTTTATCGCAATGATAAATTACAATTCCTAATGGATAGTTCTTGGCATTTGTTCTCATTTTTAGAAAAATTATAAATTTTAATAAATATATGTTTATCTTTGGAATTAGTCTAACTTTCACTTCGTGGCATTCTATCTGAACAGTGAATGTAACAGGTGGTGTTGCATATGTGTCAATTTTGTTTGTTTTCATAAAAGAAAAATAAATAATGGAATCATCAAAATTGGAACATATTCTTAATACGGAATATGGCAAAAAGTACAATGGTCATGTTCAATATGGAACTGCCGGTTTCAGAACAAAGTAAGTCTTTCATCTTTATATTTTACTAACAATATAATGTGAAATTTATGACAAAAATATGCAATAAGGAAATAGTAATGAATTTGTGGTTATTGTGATATCACTACTCATATTTCCTTGAACCTTGATAGAATGAAACATCTTCATAATTTTTTGAATACTTTCATCTAATTTTATAGAGTGTAACTACAGTCCAGTACAGAATGTAATTGAATTTAAACATTACAGTACATATAAAAAGCTATCATAGAAACATGTTAACTCTTTGTAATCTGAAACTTTTCCCTGATCATCTACCAGCAACTAGAATGTACTTTCTTTAACTATATCACTGATATATGTAGTAAATAAACTGAATTTCTTTACATATATCACTGACATACGTACTATACCACAAAAATATAGAAATTCAAACCCATAATTTTGAATATTCACTACTTTAAATTTTTGAAAATACAAAACTTGTAATCCCTAATTATTTACTAAAATATATAACTCTAATATCATATAGAATAAATTTGTACATATTATCAAATTATATTTTAGAGCAGATATTCTTGGGCATGTCCTCTATAGAGTAGGACTTTTAGCAGTGTTAAGATCTAAGGTCAAAAAAGGTATATGTCACTACAAAAATGATATAAGAATATCTGCAAAGGATTTCATTTTGATTATTTAATATTTTTATAGCTGCAATTGGTATAATGATTACGGCAAGTCATAATGTTGAATCTGACAATGGTGTGAAACTTGTAGACCCAGCTGGTGAAATGTTAGAAGTATCTTGGGAATCTATTGCTACCAATTTAGCTAATGTAGAAGATTCAAATTTGATTTCTAAAGTAGAACAAATTATAAAAGAACAAAATATTGATATGTCTACGAATGCAACTATAATAATTGGTAGGGACACTAGAAAAAGTAGCCCTATGTTATTAACTGCTGCTATTGCAGGAATTCAGGCTCTAAATGGAATTGTAAAAGATTTTGGTGTAATTACAACTCCTCAATTGCATTATCTTGTTGCATGTACAAACTCTAATGGCAGTTATGGTGAACCTACATTACATGGTTATTATGAAAAATTATCAAAATCATTTAAATATATAAGACAAAATAAGGTTAATAATGGACAGTATGTAGCAGAAGTATCATTAGATGCAGCTAATGGTGTTGGTGCTATTGCTGTAAAAGAGTTTCAGAAATATTTAGACTCAACAATTATCCACATATACAATGATGGACATGGAAAATTAAATCACATGGTATAATTACAGTTTTTATATCAATAATCTAAATTGATTAAAATGTATTTTAATGACCTGAAAAACACATCTATTGTAGTGTGGAGCTGATTATGTTAAAGTAAAACAGGCGCCACCTATAAATTTTGATCTTAAACCGAATGCTAGATGTGTATCTATAGATGGTGATGCAGACAGAATAATTTACTTTTATCTAGATGAAAATAGTGAATTTCATCTTTTGGATGGTGATAGAATAGCAACACTTGTTGCTGGGTATTTCAAAGAACTTTTAGAAGAAAGTCGTTTATTATTTCAACTTGGTGTAGTACAAACAGCATACGCTAACGGTGGTTCTACCGATTACATTTCGAATTTACTGGTGTGTTAAATCGATTAACTTTTTAAATAACAGACGACTATAAATAATACTCTATATTTTATATGTATAACTTTTCCAATTATTCTTTTAGCAAATCCCAATTGCGTGTGTATCAACTGGTGTAAAATATCTGCACAAAAAAGCATTAGAATTTGACATAGGGATATATTTTGAAGCAAATGGGCATGGTACTGTGCTTTTCAAAAATACTGTCGTTCAAACACTTAAAACTGTTGCTAAAAATTTGGAGTAAGTTTTATTTAAACGTACTATGGTATCAACAATATTCATCATTTATTATGATGCAGTATTTATTCGTTAAGAACACAGTTTAGTTAAGATCAGGCTTGGACACGACAAGAATTCCTCGTCCCGTTTAGTTATCACTGTCGTTACTTGTAAAAGACAGGGATAGTTTAAAAAAGGACAAGTCAATAGTTTTGTCTGAAAGTTACGGACGCGATCTAGCGATAATAACTCGGTATGACCGAAAACAAGAAGAGAATATTATGGTCCTCTTCTCCCAAAGCGATATGTGGTTTACGTTATTTTTTTTTATATACGTTAATAAATCACACCGGTCCTGAGCGTCGCTAACGAATAAATACTGCATACAATAAACCTTATAATATGCAATAAATTGTATAAATACATGAATATTTATTATAAAAATGTATTATAACTCGACAGATTATCTGCAACTGAAAGAGCAGCTGCTTCTAAGTTAGCAAATATGAGTGATATGATAAATCAAACAGTTGGTGATGCTTTTAGCGACATGTTACTGGTAGAAACAATTTTACATGCAAAAGGTTGGAGTATAATAGATTGGGAAAGAAATTACAAAGATTTGCCAAACAAACAATTGATAGTAAAAGTTAGAGATAAAAATGTTGTAACAACAACCAATGCAGAAAGACGATGTGTAACACCTGAAGGATTGCAAAATGAAATTGATAGAGTAGTGTCACAGTATAAGAAAGGTCGTGCATTTGTCAGGTACAGTATCATTTCATAGCTATAATTGATTCTTCCACAAGCCCTGTTCAAAGTCAGTTCTATTTTCTCATACACTGAAAATTTTCTTTTCAGGCCATCTGGAACTGAAGATGTAGTAAGAGTATATGCAGAATGTGAAAATCTGACTGATCTTAACAGACTGATTATAGATGTAGCATTATTAGTCTACAATCATGCTGGTGGAATAGGTCCTGAACCTCAACTTGCACAATAACAAGCATTCCTTCAATATTCCTATTTTGTATAAGCTACATTTATTTTTACATACAGAGTATTAAATATAATTTATACAGACTGTACTATAATGAATACAAGGTGCTAAAAAAATTCCTGCAATTTTTCTATCCATGTATACAACTGCCATATAAATGAATAAATATCACCAAATCATCAAATACTTTTATTAAATTTGTATGAACAATATTAATGATCATGCATAAATTACAATTCTCTTTACAAAGAAAAACAAAGTACAAAATAATGGTCACAATAACTGTACACAGATTAAGTTTAGTTGCAAAGGACACTTCCTCTTCTGTAAATGTATAAATTTGCACGCACAAACACATAAAACACACCACAATTAAATATCTACATCACAGATCACATAATATTAGGCAATGGGCATTGAAAAATGTGAATTTGCACTATTTGTGACTACTTTTAGGTAGTAGAAGTACCCAGACCCTGAAGATGTGTTTTCTTTGTGTTTTGCGACGCTAGGCATTTGTAATGTAATTTCTTTCCCGAAATACACTTCCGAGACAGCCAATTTTTATATTGAGGCACAATAATTATAAACGATACCATAACCTGCAAAGGATAAAAATCGTGACCTTCGGGTGTTGTTCTTCGGTTAGTCTAGGCAATCTATAAATTCTTTGTCAAACAACATAACCAGCTCAGGCAACGGACTGATCGGACACGAATAGAGAAACGCGAAATCGCGTCGCCAGTACAACTAGAAGTAAAATTGGCGGTGATTTTATGCAATGTATTGCTTTATTTATGTCTACTGCTAGACGGCGCTCGTGCGTGTTTTCCGTTTTACAAAGACAAAATGGCTAAAATGCCGTTACAATGTTTGATCTGATTCAATGAATAACTTTCTCATCGCTTTCTGTTAAAAGTATTCAAAATGGAATTTGTTGACGCCATTTTGTACCTCATTTCGAAAGTCTCTTCCCTTTTTCTTTTAATTATTTTGTTTAATTAAATATTTCTTTCAATTAATAAAAACATAAGTATTAATGTAATTTCGTAATAAAATATTCGGCGTCGGAAAGAATCACAAGCAGATTTTATTTTCAAGCTGGTGGGGATTCGCAAATTGTCAATTACTAGGGCACGCTAAGAGTCGATTATCGTTAAATATTTGTATTATATTATCTCCGTATAATTTAATTCATTTGTAATGCAATTTCTTTTCTGAAGTACTTTACCGATGGACATCCGTTGGGGGCAATTTCTGTTAGACAAGCCATCTCTACCACCTGTTGACACCATAGCTGCTATTTCTCGCTAATATTAGACTTCTACGAAATATTTCACTACTTGTAGTCTTTATTTTGCTGAAAATCATATTCAAAGATTCAAAATAATTGTATTACATTGTATATAAGATTTGTAATTTCAGAGTATTAGAATATTAAATTTGCGAATTTTATAATTTATTTTTATGAATTTGATTATACGAATAATCTTTTATTACTTAATATCCAAATTGTAATCGACTATGAAATTAAATTACATGTTTTTCATGAAAGTAATATGTATTTCAATAATTTGAAATGGTTACTGCCTACTGCATGAAATTATCTAAAAAAATCCATTAAAAATACATCCACGCGATCTGAATTTATGTTTGAGTTTTATTCAAAAATATCTCGATAAGTTTTTAGAAAAATGCAATAAAGCATATAATATTGCAATGTTTATTCGATTTCCTAACACTATTTTGTATGTAATTATTTAAAAATTCAATTTACAATTTCTAGAATCAAATTGAACTACGGATGCTGTAGCGTAATGTTCTCTCCTCGCTGGCACAACTAGAAATGAAAATGGCTGTGATTTTATGCAACGTCTTGCTTTATTCATATCCACCACCAGATGGCGTCAGTGCACAGCGACATATTATGATGCACGGTTTCCGTTCTACAAGGAAATCTCTAAAATGCCGTTACAATGCTTGATGCACAAATAATCTAGTGACTTTCTCGTTGAATGAACAAAGACTGGCAATGCACAACATATACCTTATCGCTTTCCGTCAAAAGTGTTCAAGGTGGAATTCGTTGACGCCATTTCGTACCTCGTTTCGCTGTAGCGTCACGAAAGTTTCTTCCCTTTTCCTTTAATTTAATTTCGCCAAAACGTCGCAACAACATGTAAGTAGTAATGTAATTTCGTAATAAAATATTCGGCATTGAAAAGAATCGCAAACAGATTTTCGTTTTGATACTCGAAAAGACTCGCATATCGTCAGTTACTAGGGCACGCCAAGGGCCGGTTGTCGTTGAATATTTCTTGCGCGTTGTATATTTGTATTATAATATTATCTTTCCATAATTTAATACGTAACATATAATTATACACCTTATAATAATGATAATTACGATTTGTCAGATAAAAAATTGTTTTTGTTTCAAATTACAAAAAAATAATTTCCATGGCTTTCAAAAATACATAAGCGTCTTCTACGTTCACTGGTTCAAGCATCCACAACATTTCGAATAGTTTTTTTTTAATTTACATCAATTTTAAAATTTACAACTTTTTTTTATAATTAATTTTGTGCGATAAAATTATTGATTTCCAATTATTTGGTAAAATATTCAACATTGTTTTGTTTGTATCTTAAAACATCTGTTTTTATAATGAAATTTTATGTACTTAATAATATTCTCAAAATGCTATAGCTTCTCCATTTCAGGAAATTTCAAGGAAATGTACATATCTAATACTTACATGTAACCATTTCTACTAAAGGTATTACTTAATTTTGAATGCATACACAAGGATTTTAAATATTTATTATTTGTTCCCTTTCTAATTTTATTTCACATATTATTATATATTTACAAATAGGGTTAAGTATAATGTCAATCAAGGACTTAGCATGCAATTTCATGAAAATTAAGTACTACAAAAACAAAATAATTCATTTTAAAAAATAAATCAATAATACTCTTTAAAATGTTTGAACATAAATAATTTTCAAGTAAAATACATCGATGTGAAAAGTTAGTACTAATTCTTTCTCAACAGTTTATTTGTTAATTCGCTCTTTTATTTATTTTCCTTTAATTATTAGTTATATGTTTTCTACAAATAAAGTTTCAAAACACACAGGCTTTAATTTCGATATATAGAAATTTTATTGTATGAAAATTAATATATAATACTATTTAGAATATAAATTTCAATAGAAATAAAATAGAAATGGTTGTATTTTAATGTGCTTTTAAAAAATATAAATAATATTGCTTTTATTTTCTGCTATGGATATTGTAATATTTTTAAGAATACATTATTATTAAATTTCATTTAGGAACATTAAATTATCACATATATTATAAACAATACGAGTTTTAAACAATGCAAACTATTTAAGTTTTGTTGAAAATTATATAAATATTACATATAATTATATTTTTAAGATCTAAAGAAAGAACTTGTCCTTACTGCCACAAATGCATTGTTGTGCATTGACTTCTAATTAGTAGGATGCAGTTGAATGTGCAAATTGATTAGCAATAAACCCTATGCACTTGTGGTAGCATAGACCAGCTTTTTTACGATTATTGCACATTCAAACAACTAGCACTAGTTGAAATTAAGTGATTTTAGAGTATGTTTTCTCCAATTTGTAGAAGTATTGTAAATGTTAATATTAAAATGAAATTAATTAAAAGCCAAATTCGCAATAAATATAAAATAATAATTAATAGTACTTTATTTTTTATTTTCAGAAAATGGTTTCATCCAATCAACCGGTAAGAACAATGCTAATAGTTCAATTCTATTTATTCCTTTCTATTATTTCATCAAATTTTTATTTGTTTTTCGTACATACTTTTCTATTTTATATAAAGTATTAACATACGTTAAACCCATAATTTGTATGTAGGTATGTAACATATTATTCTAAATTTTGTGTTTATATATTTTATATTTATTTTATACAGGGCAATGTACGACAGTCTCTTTTTATTATCCTGTATATTGACATTAAATAAGTATTGTTGACTAGCTCAATAATATTACATAATCATTATCATGTGATTTTTGTAATAACAGAAACTGTTTTGAGCAACATAAATTCTCAAACAGACACCATACCTTTGATAAGCAAATGTATGATCGATTTTAGAGGTACAAAGTAAATTTAAAATTTGTGTATGATTTGTACAACTTCATTTAGTATCACATGTTACATGATTATATACACAAATCGAAGAACGAAATATTATTAATCGCATATTTCAATTTTCCAGAGGAAAACAAAAATATTTGTGGGTCGGTTACCAGAAAATTGTCGCAGCGATGAGTTGCGACAATTATTTTCACGTTTTGGTGAGGTAACTGAATGCGATGTCATGAATCGATATGGGTTTGTCCACATGGCACGTGAGGAAGATGCAGCTGTAGCGATCAAAGCTCTCCACAACTCCAACTTCAAAGGGGCAACGATCAACGTGGAACAGTCTACTGGCAAATCACGCGGCGGGGGAGGAGGACGCAGGGACGGAGAAAGAAGAGCTGGACCAATGAGAGGTGGTAGAGGAGGACGAGACGGTGGTAGAGACGCTCGTCCAGGACCTTACAATGATAGAAGAGGTTTGTATATATATATTTTTTGTGCAATATTTTATCTGAATAAAACTATTTTCTCATTGCTAATAATCATACCGTATAACTTTTATATTATTGGGTAAATTTTATTTGAGAGTATAATTACTGTTATATCAAATATTACATTTAATGAAAGTTGCAATGAGAAAATAGTGAATGAAACTAATACACGTTTATAAAACAGACTAAAATACTAACTGGATGTCTTGGCATGCTTTACAGTTCTTCCGATCCAACTCGTTGGTTACGATGGATCTGCTGCAGGTGGCGTCGCAACGGGGTACACCGATTACAATCGTGGCGCTGGAGACTTTAGTGGACGTGGAACAGACTTTGGCACTGGATACACCGACCGCGGAGCATACGGCCAAAATGTGGGGAATGCAGCGATGGGTTACACTTCAACTGCGCCAGGAATGGGAGGAGGATATGGACCGGCGACCGGAGCTGTTGGAGGATATGGACCAACCGGGACAGCTGATTACGGCCGAACTGCAGACTATAGTCGCGCAGCAGAGTTCGGAGCCAGAACAGATTACGGTAATTACTCTGATACATGCTTTTTTAACTTTTGATTATGTGGTACTCAGAATTAACCCTTTGCAGTTAAATGCATTTTCGTTAAATCAAAGTAAAATTGTTTGTAACGTAACACAATATTAAATATTTCATACAGAGTCTTTTTCGCCATTTCATCCATTATTGAATTGATAAGATTTTTATCAGAATATATCTAAACATAACCTTGTCCTGACTATTTTTAATCATATAACGTAATTAACCCTTGATTTCGGACAACATGCATAATTAGTTTTAACGTTATCAACAAAAGACTGCGTATACACTTTGTTTTTAAAGAAATCTGAAAAGAAAAAAATCATATTAAATTTTCCATTATTAGTAAAACTTAGTTATATGTTTCAAAGTGATTGAGTCTAACACAGTTAGTCAACAAAATCTGGAAAATAAAAACACTTGAAACATAAATCTACCATGAACTGAATGAAATGTGCTTATTTATAAATCGCATTGTTTACCTGACACCCGTAATCGTGGTCATACGTGTAACATGATCTAGCGCGACGAATACAAATATTTTTAGAGTGAAAACATGTGAATGATCACAATAATGTTGCCGTTGCCATATTAGCAGCTACAATTTTTTTTTAATTTTTTTAATTTAAAAAAAATTTTTTTTTTTTTTACCCCTTGCACTACTCTGAAATTCGGAAGAAGCCGTGCCTAACCCATACGTCCGAATGATCGGAACGAGTCCTAACATCGGAACTTGAAACACGATATGTCGATCGACAGAATATCGATATTTACGAGTTCGACTTGTGATATTCATGTTTTGACAAAATGTCGATTACAAGTCAGACTCGTGTTATTCACGTTTGACGTGAAATTGAACAACGAGCCTGACTCGTGATATTCAAGTTTGGCCTAAAATTTTCATCACGAGTCAGACTCGTGAAAATAGTGCAAGGGGTTAACTCAGTTTTTGAACTGAGCTTAGAACTTCATTTGCTAATTAATAAAGTGAACGTAGCGAGGACACGATGAAAAATATTGGCCTAACACAAACATTGTATGTGATTTTACAGTGGTAGGAGGTGGGATGACTGGTGATTTTAATCGCGGTGCACCAGGTCCTATGGATTATGGGCGTACTGATAATTTTGGTGCAAATCGCACAGTTGATTACACAGCTAGAAATGAATATGATCGAACTGCAACTGGACCTATGAGAAACGGTGGTGGTGCTGTTGCCACTACTGGGTATGGAACAGGGTACACAGATGTAGGATATGATGAAAGTCACTGGTAAAGTATTCTTTTTTTTTTTATTTCCAACTTTAGATTTAATTGCATGATTTGGTATCAGTCAATTAGTACTATTTGTGACTATACAGTAAGTCCCTTCTATATGTTATGCGTTTAAAAGTAACAGAGTCATTCTCGCCATTCTTTTAAAATACAACGCTAGTGACCCGTCGTCTTATAATATCGATAGTCTCAAATTATTCACTACTGAAAATTAAAGTTTGTACATTTATCATTTGTTTTTACGAAATTAGTACTAATGGATTGGTGGTAATGAGTCCCTGGTGAAAACGAGTCTAAACACGACCTCTAACTATACTTAAATCATTTGTTACTCAAATCGCTTCTGATTTTTATAAACGAAAATGTTACGCAGCAAAAAAACTTCTTTTTTACAACATAATTATATCAATGACTACCTACATGATTGCTATCTGTGAAACAAAAATAACTCAGCGTTGGTTAAATGTTTTACAGTAAATTAATGTTGTGTATTTAGATAGAAGAGTCAAACTTGGACGGGAGGCAGTGTTTCCGATTGAAAAACAAAGTATTTTATAAACAAATAACAAACAGATATTTGTACAGTGGTTTAGATAGGAAAATGTATGTAACAATTAAAATCTCGATAATAACGAGCGATGTAATTTGGTCTTTATTATCCCGTCAAACACATCTATTATAGTAGCAAGCAAAACAATTAGGGTTATAAAAATCGCAAGATCCTTTTTTTCAGTATTAAATTAAAATTTGTATCCTAAATTATTTAATTTGTTTCGTTCTTTGCAATACGTTGACATCTAGGGAGGATCGTTCAATAACATATAAACGGGGGTTACTGTATTTAACGATATTACTCTAGATACTAATTCAGGTATTCAAAATATAAATTAATATTTATCAATAAAGTTTAAAAATATTACTTCTCGATATATTGTACGAATGCCGAGTTGTTAAAAAAAAATTTGTGTTTTAAAAGAATTTTATGACAAAAATTCAAACGTATCAATTATGAAGCAAAACTTCATTTTTATTCTAACCTGTGATGTCCATACTATTTAAACGTGTGCAAATTTATTGTAGCTTATATTAATCCCTTAATGCTCACCCAGAACTGATGTTTGTTTGTTTGTTCCACCCCAGTGGTTCCTAATATTTTTTAAATCATGTCCCACCCCTATGCCTCAAATATTTTCTCCCTTGGCAATCACGATCTAAAAAGATATTCGATCTAGAAAAATTAATGCAACATAATTTTCTAGTTGCCCCCAAATTAATTAGAATAGTCCACTTGCGGGATCTATAATAAAGATGTGACATCTAATATTTTCTGTCTTATAATTTTCAGTTTTGTTGTTATTGTTATTTTTTCTTGTTACTATCATTGTTACTGTGGTATTATCACTGTATTAAGTATCAACGCGGTACACGAGACACTGTTTTTTGATGAAACTAATTAAATAAAAAAAAGTAAAATGCTCATTGTAAAACAGAGGTTTAAATCTGAAAAATATCTAAGCATTAAGGGGTTAATTAGGCTTGAACAACTTTTTAGTGCATTGTACAGGATAGAGTGAAAATAAGTTAACATATTCCAATTGTGTATGACAGGGGTTATCCGGGTGGGCTTGAGAACATGATGGGAGGAGGGGTGGGGTAAGTCAGGGAGTTTAGTAGTCATCGACGTGTGTCTCTGTTAAAACACGAATACTGACATGAACAGATTTTGCTACATTGTTCTTTGTATGCGTACGAGTGATAGAAGTTTGGTTTCACGGCTGTAAAAATGCCCAGCGTTTCCTGTACAGTCGGCAAAGTTTCCGGTACTTCAAAGAGGTACCGGCACGATAAAAAATAATCATGCGATATACAAATTTATTAATTATTTCCTGTAACTTTGATGTTATGCGTGTAACGTTTTAATTCGAATCATTTATGTATATTAATATTATATTTGTTAAACTAGTTGAAGGTAGCCTAATTTATGAAATGTTCGGACTTGTTTTGATCGCAAGAATTCTAGTAATAGGTTGATACTATTTCTAAAAAAGATAAAATTAAGACACAAACGATACTTTTTGTTTAATCGATTTTCTTCCCTTCTCTGTTACAGTAAAGTTTTAAAACTCCTTTTAAGTAAAAGAATATTGCCAGCAAGATAGAACTCTATCGATTGAACAAAGGGCACTGGCACATTTACAGTATCTTGTTTATACTTATTCAATGGGGCAGAATCTGTTCGTGTTTTAGCGGAGATACGCCTTAACTGAAGATATAGTCTCTTTGATAACGATATGTTTCTTCCTCCATTTAATAGGCCAATGAGTACTGGACCCAGCTACAGCACTGGAACACCTAGTTACAGCACTGGTCCTGGACCACAGGCAGACATGTTTAGTAGAAGACCTGCCGTCCCCAGTGGTGGATATCCACCTGTTGGTGGAGGGTAAGTAAAAATAGATATTTAATTACTAAATTGGCACCGATTCCTATGTACAGCGTAATGGAGATACTTCTTATCTTATCGTCTTTTATACGATAAAAAAGTGAAGTTGAAAAATAAGCATACTGTTGAAAATTGCCTTTGCATACTTGTATCGTGATTTAACGTTGTATCGCGACTTACTGGAGAGGAATGGACAAAAATTGAAAATCACATTTTTGGTCAATTTCGAAATTGGACGTCACGGATTTCGAAAAGAAAGAGAAATATTCCAGTTAAAAGGCATTTTATATATATCTGCCACTGACTGGATTGATAATATAATAATGTTATCAGTCATGCAAAGAAGAAATTTCAGCAGCTGAGATTTCAGGAAAGACATTTTGTTAAAATAATTAAGAAGTTAATTCAAGCACAAGTTTCTGTAAGAGTTATTTCTTTCAAAAGATGTATCGATTTTCGACTCGTCAGTTTGATTTGGTTGGTTCAGATATTTGATCCATCTTTGGTAGCGTGATCTATAAAAAAAATTGATTGGTTTAAGGCGTTGACTGCCATTTTGCAATATCTAAAGATGTCCTAGATATTCGTTAAAATTATTGACGGAAAAACAGATATATTCGATGGTTCAATGGCGTACTTGCTATTTTATAGCATCCCGAATGACCGTTATGTTATTTAAGATTGTAAAAAGAGTTCTTCCATCGTAAACGATTTAAAAAATATTGTAAGTTTGAGGTGCCGATTACCAACGCGTTAAGTGTCTGCAAAAGTAAAATTGTATCATTTAACAATATAAATATATACTCTTATCTTCTGTTATTTGACTACACGTTCAACATTTGTTACACATTTCTTCTTCTAGTATCATATCATAGTATTATGGATGAGTTGTTATTATAATAACTTCTCCGTAAGATCTACTAATAACGAATTGCATCACCTGTTTGTAGTTCGAATCGATTTCCTTGAAAAAAAATAGATACACCGATAAACCGAAATTTGAAACATTGATTAATATTGATTTTTTTTTTTCAAAAACTGTTACAATAATTGATGAAACATCCATTTTTAAGTGGAATTGGTCTCTGTAGATGAGATAAAAGGATTTTAAGCCTAAAAAGATTTCATGACGATGCGAAGGTCATCTTTGGGAATAAACCACTTGCACCGCCTAAGGTGCAATTGAAGTACTATGTTTCTGGATCACGTGTACATCTGGGGACGGTGATTCGTGCTGTGAAAGACCAAGAATCCACCAGCTTTGATACTAATTAAGACGCTCGTCTAAAAGGTTTTCATTGGTACCAGAGCTATGGACTTTTCCTTGATATGGCACGAATCATTGTTCTTGAGTGATTCTCACATATTCACTGATCTTAGGCGCATGTGCCGCCCGATGACGTCAAAATCAACGGACTGCATAATCAATATTATGGGCGTTAAAGTGCAACAGAACTTAGGCCAAGTATAGGGTCTTGCATTATCGCGTTAACATAATTTCAGTATCTCTAGAATTTTGGGTCGAGGCTTTCTTTATCCAAAAAAATATATCCAGGTTCTTTGAAGTATAATCTATAATATAATAAGGACCTTCCAGTTCCAAACATTTGTCAAATTTGACTGAACAATAAAACTGCTAGAAGTCTGTTAAAATATCCTTCCCTTTAGCTAAGGGAAGCTTTAGCTAATTTCTTTCTAAATACTTTTAGACAATTTTCTAAAACTGTTTCCTTCGACGGTAAAATGTAGAAATAATTTAGTTAGGCGCAAGATGGTTTTTCACAAAGACAATAACCTTCGCATCGTCAAAGATTACGGGCCTCTGCATCCAATATATATGATCCCACAAGTCCCACAATTGGAACAAGTAATAAATTCCTTATGTACACATTTATTGTCACTATTATTATACGTGTAAGAAGAAATATATTTAAATAAAATTTCATTCGGACGGAGTAAAAAGAGTATCTATTTTTTTTGTTATAGTTATACTGAAGGATACGACAGACCAGATGCGTATGGTCCTCCACGTGGTGGTGGACGGTAAGTCTTATTCTTTCTCTTATTTTTACTATATAATACTTCTTACACCACTGCGTTTTCCAAAGTGACATCACAGCGTTGAAGAGCGATGTTAACTTCTGCGAGTGATCGTTCGTTAATTATGCGACGGTGATCCTTTTTTTTTGCGCAATGTACTTCATTCGGTTTAACGCTGATCCTCAGTGTACTCTTGTTTTCATGCGAATCGAAAATAGGGTTAACATTTTCTGTAAAAGTATAAGGTGTGACACTTAGCGCGACGGTGGGTATGTTCCTTGAATATAGTAAGCGTATATCTGTGTGTGCAACAACACATAATCGATTCCTATAATCGTGAAAATAAGAGGAAACCATTCTGCGACTTTTCTAATGTTGAGTGTAAAAGAGAACAGAGGTAGTTTGCTATACTACTTGAGTTTTATCGTACACAGAAACTGCTAGGAGTAGTAATTGAAATCTTCCCCATATGTTTGGAGTCACTAACATATCTTAATATGCTCTATAGTCTAAGACTTATATGTATTTCTTCAAGTCGTCAAGTATTAATTTTTAATAAATGGTGAGTTTTAAAAATGGATGATAATAATAAATAACGATTTTACAAATACAGTAATGCAAACATGAAAAACTACATACTGGAATACGAAAATGGATTCCCTATAAAACGTTGACTTCCGTGGTGGTCACTGGTAACCGACACTACAATCTGTTGCAATATTGTTTACAATGGGAGAACCTTGATACTTGTAAAATTGTAAATAATACTACTCTCGTTAGAAATGCTATAAAATAATAAGTATGCCGTTGAATTATCGAATATTTTTGTTTTATAATTTGAACATTCAAGGAATTCGAAGAACACCTAATTATACATTAATGATACTATTCATTAAAAGAAAGAAATTGAAAACTGACAAAATTTGGATAGTTGAGAGGAAAAGTGACTTCAAAATACAATTTACATGTTAATGTTTTGAGAAAGAATTTTTTATCGGATGCTACCTCTCTTCTTTTATGTACTCTGCGATAAAAGTCAGCGAATTTAGCGTTTACGTGATTGAAGATTGTTGCGACTAATCAGACAATAGTTTGGTAGATGATACCAAATGAACCGTAATGCGTTACGACACACTGCGCCCCACTGAGTAGCATGTGTTCTAAAGATGCGTGTCAACGTTCCCCTTGTCAATCCGTACGTATTTTATTCATCTTGAAACAAAATTGCGCTGTAAAACTGTGTATTGTGTTTCAAGACGTGTATAAAAAAGTTAGTCCGGTTGCAAAAAGTATTGCGTTGCGATATTCCTATTGCGTTTGTTGCAAAGAATAATAAGTGATCGAGCAAGTAACAGACAATTTTCAACAGTTATTGACAAATTTTATTTTCGAACGATGGAAGTACACAGCGTGGTTCAGAAATATTAACGACCGTTCAAATCGTATTTAATACGCTTTTGCGACGATAACGACAGGTGCTTGGATGCAGCGATGATATAACTTTAAACATGTGACAACTTGTCAGACCTGGATGTGATCAATGCTTCAATTAATACTTGAAATACGGTTTACGTAAACGTGCATACTGTGTGTACAATTATAAGAACTTTCTTTTACATTTATAAATATTGAGGTGTAACCTGGTAAATGTGGAGCACAAGGAACGTTAGAAAATTGTCCGGATTGATGGTGCTGACAGTCATTGCACAAGAAATTTTACTACAGCAAGTTTCTTTCATCAGATTTATTTAGAACAATTACTATTTTTAGATTTAATTTGTTATTCAGTCTTTAATTATGTTAAGTTTGATCGAAACAATATTCAACGCATGTTGTTAGCTTTTTGCAGATACGAATAACGTGCAATAACGTGGAATAGTTTGAGAATATTTATGATAATAGACATCAGCTAATTCCAATCATAATTCCAATCATAATATTTCACACATAGAGAAACGGATTAGTTCCAAATATATGTATAAAAAACAATCGAATATTAACTCAATCTCAGAGACAAATAACGAAAGTACCATCGCGGACAAAATTAAGTAGACAAGTAATGGGAAATAGTTATCAATGAAATTTAGTTGAAATAGTACTATATATTAAGTTTTATTATAGATCCTTACAGTGCATAGATTATTGAAATTAATATTTATATTTTTGTATAAATAAGCAAGTCTACTAATTGCAGAGGGACAAAAATGTCGAGACTGGTACATTTCGGTCACGGTCATTGAGACGACCGAAATGGGATATACAGGGTGTTCGGCCATCTTTGGGAAAAATTTTAATGGGGGATTCTAGAGGCCAAAATAAGACGAAAATCAACTTCTTTAAAAAGTTATTAACGTTTAAAGTTCCGCCCGTATTGAATTTTTTTCTCCAAAATGTGCAAGATTTCGGGGGTATGACTATTCACCAAAAATGATTGTAATTGACCCCCGCAACCGAAAATAATTTTTCCAAAACTATTTGAAATTTTTTTTTTCGTCCAAAAATTTAGGCACTTAATTAGATTTTCAGAAAGGAATTTTTTTCTCGAAAGTGCGTAGGATTTCTGGGATATGTGTAATGACCAAAAATGATTGTAATTGACCCCCGCAACAGAAAATAATTCTTTTTAAACTGTTTGAAAAATTTTTTTTCCCGCCGAAAAATTTCAGCACCTACTCGATTTTTTTTCTCGAAAGTGAATAGGATTTCGGAGATATGTGTATTCACCAAAAATGATTGTAATTGACTCTCGCAACCGAAAATCATTTTTCCAAAATGATTTGAAATTTTTGAATTTAATTGTTAATAATTTTTTAACGAAGCCTCCATCAACAAATTGGTATCCTTTATTTTCGTCGTATTTTGGATTCTAAAATCCCCCATTAAAGTTTTTCCTAGGGGTGGCCGAACACCCTGTATAGGATTGTCTCAACAGGGTTCCTTGAGAGAACTTCTCTTAAACTCTCCCAAGAGTTTCCTCTTAACCCAAACTGATGAGAAAAATTTTCTCAGGAAGAGGTTAACCGATACATACTTCTGAGACGTGGAAAACGGACAAACACAACTCTTGACAAAAAAGTCAAAAGAAATCCTTGAGAAGTCGAGAAATTTTTCTGCCAAAGTTTAAGTAGCAATTGTAAAGTTTGTTTGAAATTTGTCGTTTACTTATATAGAAATGTAAACAGTAATTTTAACTATTGACTATAAGGTAACATAAAGATCTGTAATAAAACAACTCAAATACATAACAGTGCTATATCAACTGAACTTGATCGATATCTCCATTAACTGGTCTATCCAATTTCGTCCGCAACTGTATAAAGGATCTTGGCTAAAACACATATTATAGTTGCCCTAAACGACGTCGGGCTGTCTACATAGCATAGAAAAAGGAAGAAATTAGTTGAGATCGCGGGAAAAGATAGTTTCACAAGTGGCTTAACCAGGTCTGGAAGTTGTATCATTCGGGAAATGTGTGTTACATGCGTTGCGACAGTAAATACCGAAACGATCAGGGTTTCCGTCGTGCCATTCAGTATTCGAGCAACAGGATTAAACCGTCGACGAAAGAAAGTATTTCCGGTTGAATGAATTCGCGCATACCAGTGTTACATCTTATACTTTCCAGCTTCTTGCGCCTCAAGACGATGAAAAAATTAATTTTGCGATTTTTCATTTTTTGACCTTTTAGCTTCCCAGGTCCGGCAGACGCGATGCCACCGAGGTACTAAAAGCGTACTAAAGCAAATACTAAGCGCATGCGCGAAAGGCACCCTTAAACAAATGCCTCTTTAGTGGTGGTCGTTCGCTAACGGAATCGAATACCTAGGAACTGCCCTGCGTCCGACAAATACAGAGTCCATACCATTACATACGATACTATGTATAATGATAGATACGATAGATCTAATGTTTAACACTAACTTAAGGTACGGTAAGAAATAAGAAGTATCAATGAGTAACATAATCAGAAATGAAACGTAACTAAGATACTTTAAAGAAGAAGAAAATCGAATCTTTCATGAAAATTGTAATATGGAGTCAAGGAATTTTATATGTCGTTCACATTTTTTTTCCAGCAAATAGTGGGTATTTTGTGCGATTTGTGTTCGTAGTTTTCTTTTTTCTTGATATTTCCTATGTTTTTTTCTTTAGTAGTGGTACCACCCCAACTATAAACGGTGTGGGTTGAATTATCTTTTATCTATCTTAAGTCATATGATAATTACACTATAGGATAGATGATTTCGTTATAAGTTTATAATATTTAGATCAAGATGATGGTGACGTAGGCTGCTATTAAATAAAAAGTGCTGTATAATCTTTTTTTACACGTAAGAACTTGGATAATATTTTAAATGTTCATTAATAAAGCAGAAAAACGCGTTTGCAGAAGTTATCAATGTACCTTAACGGAATGAAAAATAAAATTTAAACGAATACATCTTTAAGTCTCTTAGCTAAATATTTTAAAGTACGTTCACCTTATTACAGTTTACTTGTAAATCGCCTACAGTTCATAGAATTTCAATCCAATCATACAAATGTTATTACTAAAGGCCTTTTAGTTTTCGCTTTAAGTTTTGATCACACTTTTATTTGTACTTTCCAAGCAAGAGACTGCTACTAAAACTTCTCTTCATTAAAATATGCGAAGCTGATTAATCACTACACAGAAGGGGATCATCGAAGACATTTTAATGCAAGATCAGGTGAAATGTGATTTTCTCAGTCAGACTATCCTTTACCGTTCTCCAGCGAACCAACTAGGAATAATCAGCGCGCGTTCAAAATGTGGTACACATAATAATTATTTGGGTGACGTTTTGCATTACAAAATTGCTTTACCTTATTCGTTTCCTCTTGTATCGTTTAATACAATATGATAGAATTCATAGGATCGAAATTAATCGTTTTGTAATATTCTTACGCTACTTTCATCGTTTAATTCATCGATGGTGGTTAAACCCTACGCACACCATAAAACTGCAAGTGACCGTCATTGACCCTCTATTTCTCTGTTTCTCAGAACGTTGACATTTTCAAATTGTTTACCCACTAATAAGCTTGAAGATTGTTACATAATCTTTATACCTTATCTCCAGTTATTAAATGGTCTAGGCTTTGATACAATCTCTATTTCATTAAAATTTCTATGAGTTGGTGATGCTGGTATGTTTAAAATTTCGAAAATCCCCTGAGAATTTGAGAATGTCGAACGGCACGAACTTATGGGACGACCTAAGACAATGTATAATTGGCCCTTTGCAGATGATGCCTTAGTATTTGGAAGAAAGTATTATTTTAATTGTGCAATTTTTTAAACATTTTTGTAATAGTCGCCACGCGGGTAGGTACGAATATTACAAACCGTTTAGCTTTGAGCTTACATCACCAGTTGGTTTTTGAAATAAGTAGGAGAATAAAGATGAATTCCGTTAGTGTTCTGATCGATATGAAATTGTTTGTGTTAATTAAACATGGCGAATGGTATAAATTCGAAAAAGCAAGGTGAAATGCAGAACGTCATTTGGACTTTGATGGAATCTACATGTCTTGTACTCAGACAGCGTAATCTTGAATTGTGCGACGAACCGCGTAAGCGCAGCGCACTCTAATCCTGGTGGCATATCAACGTCCGATTATTGAAGAAACGATATCAAGTCGCTTACCTATGCGTGTGGCCTGTAGATGCGACACTCTGGTGAATAGTGCAAGCTTCGATATGCGGATAACGCGCCACAAATTGCGTTTGCGCTCAAAGCTGGCGGTGCTTTGAATTTAAACAGAAGGTATGTTCAACGCGTGCGCCCTTTACTCTTTGCTCGTTAAAGGAAAAAAAGAAGTAAAAGAAAACGGGATGCGCTCATGCGCATTGTGTCTATATTAATCATTGCGAACACTGAAAAATTGACAGTACAAAAACTGCAGAAAAACGTTATAATCGTCGATTGTGAAAATACCGTATGCGATGATGCTGCGATAGCGATTGCTTTTAGCATTTAACACGCGTCAATTCTAATTCCATCTCTTCCTGGATAAATTGGTCTACGATATCCCTTTCTTTTATTTGCGCCGATGATTCGTTCGAAAAGTGTTGCAAGTCGAATTTATCTTTGCCCCGTAATGGCGCCGATTTCGAATTTCGTTTCCCCGACCCGCAACGTCTTAATCAATTTTCTATTTTACGTTTACTAGCAACGTGTGTCGTGCAATTATTAGTTGTCTCGGATCTGTATTATTATCTAATTGTGTTATTAAATAAATTCCAATAGGACAAGCCGCGGAACATGCAAGTTTTTCGCGCCGGGAGAAATAGGAATGTCCTGAATCATTTTGCAATCTAGGATTTTGGTTTTTCAACTACGGCAAATGTTGGCCGTTCTATGTAATTGCAAAATAAATGAAATTATAAAAGTAAAGTGCGATTTTCACGTGGAACGGACTATTAAAAGTGCAAAAATTTCATTATGGTTTACGGAAGTACATTCGAAAGAGTACTAAGAGAGTAGTGAATGTGTATTTGTATTTTATATTTGAATAGTTTATATCTCGAAACTGGAAACTCAGGTTGCAAAATTTCACTGGACTATTCCACGTTCGTTGCAACGAGGAATTTGCATGTTTCAACTCGGATCTATAATTTTGGGACACTGTATATTGTATTATATACAGTATATTGTACATTGCTGAAATCGAATAATGTGTATATCATTATATGTATATTAATTTATATGGTAGCGTGATATCGATTATTACATATATTCGAATTAATTGTTCAACAAAATTCTCTGCATAATTGTTGATTTTTATGGATTATAACAGAAAAGAAACATTCAAAACGGCTTACTGGCACTAACGATAATCGTATTAGTAGACATTAAACGAGACCTACTAACAGTTGTATTTTCGGCACCATTATAATTTTTAACATGTAACGGGATGGAATTAGAACTAAATACATTTGTGCGAATACATTCTTTTACATGAACTAATAATATATTAAAGTGCAAAATTTCACTTAGTTTAAGATTTTATAAATTATATGTATGCTTATACCTATCACAGGCTTTGTGAACATCATGCACAAAATAATACAATTTTTTTAATAGATTACAAGTGGGATGAGGACACACTGGACAATGAGATGAACTCAGATTGCAAGTATGAGTCCTAAAAATACCAAGAAGACTTTGTCTGTCAGGGAAGACATTCGGAGTGACGTAAAAAGAAGAAGAAGCGAAAGAAAAAAAAAATGTCAATTGTAGCCATGTGCGCTAACAATGTCAGAATCAATGAATGTTATTCTTGTTAAGTAATATTTTCACAGTAATATTTCAATTTAACGCACTGCTATGCGTTATTAATATTTATTATTTCACTGTAAGATATAAATACGTGTATATTACTACGTAATGAAAATGTCAAAAAATAAAGAAATAATTTTTAAATAAATGTAAAAAATTGTACCTAATAGGAGAGTTTATTTATGAAACAGTTTGTATTTCAATTTCATTTAGCGCAGTTTTTCAAGAGTTATTATAACGTCTATATTTTAGGGGAGTATTGTATTTCGTATTTTATTTTTTATAAATCAATAATAAATGATGCTTGTACAATAAAGTGTTTTTTTTTCTTAGAAAAGATTCAAGAGAAAACGTCCTTACATGCAGTAGAACTTTAAATCAAGATTGGGTCGTTTAAGTATCTCGATGATACGGAGATTATTGAGAAAATTACAAATTCTAAACATAGATTCCTTTGAAGAGTCTCCGAGTACTCAAAATTCCGGTTTGGATTACAAAATAATGAGCAAGTTCGAGCTGTTCGAGTTCCAAAACAATTGGGGTGGTTGGAATCTTCCAGTCACGACTCTAGTTCGGAAATCCAGGTATTCATGTCCATACTTTTAAACCCATGAATTATATAATTATTCTATTCTTTTGTTTATCTTTTCTTTGAGAAACTATTCATTTACATGTTCAAATCGTTAGTAAAGTCGAAAATCGAAATTAAAATAGAAAAATAGTGAAGTTCACAACAGAAGAGTAATCATTTGTTGTAAGAAATTTTGAAGACAGTACGTTATCGCAAAATTACGTAGATTGTTAACGAGAGTGTCAGTAGTGTTCAATCTATTGTGTAATCGTATCAAAGTGAAAACAGAATAAGTAATGAGTCAAGAAAAACTCCAAACAGGAAGTTGAACGCGTACGACGAAAAGTGGATAGTGCGAAAAGTTCGATAATCTGAGAATTGGTGGCCCTAAACTTTCTAACCAAGTTTAAACATATTTAGGGAAACGTGTAAATCTGTAAACAGTACTAAAAAAAGGTTAAATTTCGCAAGAGATTATTTGAATAAAGATTTTAACTTTTGGGAAAAGTCTATCTTTACAGATGAAAGTAAATTCAATATTTTCCTCCGTAAAATTGTTAACCATCGACAGTGATGCCAGAAAAGCACCGTCGGGTGCACACTCACACATGCTAGATACGCGTACGTGAGCTCGTGGAGTTTCGGAAAGACGACAAAGGCAAACTGACGCATGCCCTCTTTCTCGATTCTCCGAAGCTGTCCGAAGTAATTTCGGACCGCTTCGTGCGAGTCGAGAGAGAAAGGCTCACATTTGCCTTCTCGCTCTTAACAACTGAAATCCGACCTCCCGTCAACGGCATACGATTTGGATTCTCGAACCGAGATTCTCGACTGCCCAGGCATTTTTACTTTCCGACCTATGTAGGCGCACATAAGCAAAGTACCCATAATGAAAAAAAAATTTTGTAAAATTTATTTTACGGAAATACACGTTTTAAGACCTGATCATATTTTAATTATTGAAAAAAAAGAAATTTTTTTTTATTCCCATGTATGAGCACACATATGTACATTATTAATACGATTGAATATAAATAGCTAAATGAATTTAAATGAAACTTTACATTTAAGTTTTATGTTCTCATTTCAAAGTCCGGTTAGACTTTGACTATAATCAGTCCATGGATAATAATGATTATACCTCTTGTTTCATAGTTGTTCCGATATATGTATAGGCATAATGTATAAAAAATCTTTTAAATGTTTCATATAAATCTTAGGACGAATTAAATTTTATATATGTTAGATAGACGCGTAGAATGGAATTAGGAATTAAGAAATACGCAGGGTATTCGTATACATGCTTTATTCCCGTTCTTTCAGCGTCGGAAAAACAAATGAGCCCGTCCTGGGCCTAGACCCTCGCCTTTGTCGTCAGCCTTCTCCCCCATCGGTAGGGGTGGGAGTGTTGACGGACGAAGGCCAGACGCGGTCCCTTGCCAGCGCCTCGGCTTGGGCCTCGCCTTTTCCCGACGCCTTACATATGTATAAAAAAAATTATATAAACTTTTTCTCTATCTTCTCTAGAAAAGAAAAAATTAAATGAAATCTTATACATTACATGCTTACTTAAATCGCATTGAAAACGAATACCACAAATGTTTTAGAATAATGTGCAAAATGTGATTGCGATTTTCGCTAAGACAAATTGAAAACTCGTTTCTAACAAGGAAAAGTTGGAATGGTACCAGGTTTTGGGATAGGTTTTACTTTGAGATATTATTAAAGTTATTACAGGTACTTATTTTCAGAAATAGAACTATGTTCACCACTAATCAGCGTGGCGTGAGTGATGAGGTCTTTGCCTGCAAGTTCCGAACTTCTTCTGCTGTGCTGGTTCGAACCCTGCCAAAACAAATCCTTTTTTTTTATTTTTTCAATCATATTTTAATCGTACACTAAATGTGACATTATATTTTTGTCTGACCTTCGAATATTTTTTTTTAAAGTTGAATTTAACCAATTACATTTAACATATGTTATTTTCAATGTACGAAGTACATGAATCTGGATGGTACTTTTCGTAAAAACAGTGAAAACATAACAATTTCAAGCACCACCTACATCTAATGAAAGTTCTGTTTTCACAGAAATAACAAAATTTTGTATTTAACTCTGATGGAAAGGCCGCTTCATTTACATTGATAAAATGTGAACGATTTTCGGATAGTCGTACCTTGTAGCTCGTACTTTTTACCTTATACTTCAGGTAAAAAGGGATATAGCTAGGAAAAACAGTTTTATGACATTACCTGCTAACTTATGTTACTGTTCTACAATGAAACGCTATGTTTTGTACCTTTAAAAATATTCGACTATGTCCTTTTAAAATTTAAGATACAACCCATTCTCTGTATTAAACTGGCAAACGGGATCACTTTTCCTTTGTTTCTAGTTAGTTCTATTTAGTTCGTCATAACAAATTGATACGGTTATCTCAAAACAATCGAGGAAAATCATTATTAATTAATTTCTGCAATTATTAATTCTACTGTTTTGTTTATGTTATAAAAGTAAGAACTCTTCTTATTGAAAAATACCACAGCGTGCACAATACTGGTAAAGAGTGGAATCTCATTTTAATTTATTAATTTTCAATCTTAAAGTATTTTGATTTTCAAAAATCGTATTAATAATATACATACAGTTACTCACAAAATTGAGCGTACACCTATGTAGTTAATAAAAACTTGTGGGAAAATGAACATAAACAGACATATTTAAAAGTAAAAACGCATTATACATTTTACTTGTACATTTCAGCAGATAATGCGTGAAGAAATTATTAAACAATATTGATTGTTCATCTATGTTTAACAAAAACTTCAAAAGTATGCTTATTTTATCGTCACAAAATTGAGCGTACAGTTTATTAGTAACTAGAAAACTAACTTTTGTAAAACTTCTCATGGTTTACAATTCATTCGATTGTATCTAGTAACATAGTTCCGTTGCTATGATACGTTTGATTTTCATTTGTCATTGTTTATTAGCGAAAATTTGCACTATGGCTTCACAAAGATCAGAAACTGATATTTCTGTGCGAAAATTAGTTGTTAAATTGTATTGTCAAGGTAAATCTCTAAGGCAAATTGGAAAAATAATAGGTAGAGCCCACTCTACTGTACAAAAAATTATTAACAATTACAAATACAATGGTACACTGCATAATCAGCCAGGACGCGGAAGGAAAAAAATTCTGACTGGAACTGACGAACGGTACATAATACGACAAATTAAAATTAATCCAAAAAGTAGTGTACCAAAATTAACAACAGATGTTTCATTGAGGATTAGAAAATCGATATCGATAGAAACTGTTCGTAGGGTGCTACGTGATAAAGGCTATCACGGTAGGGTAGCAAGGAAGAAGCCTTATATTTCTAAGGTGAATAGAATCAAGCGTTTGGAATTTGCAAAAAAATATGTAAGTTGTGATATAAATTTTTGGAAGAACGTAATATTTTCTGACGAAGTTAAAATTAATTTATTTAATTCGGATGGAAAAATAATAGTATGGAGACAACCGAATTCAGAGTTCGATCAAAAGAATACGGTTCCTACTATAAAACACGGCGGAGGTTCAATAATGCTGTGGGGATGTATGGCAGCAAGTGGAGTCGGTAATAGCAATTTTATTGAAATAACTATGGACAAACTAAAATATCTCGATATTTTGAAAAAAAATTTGAAATCGTCAGCTCTAAAATTAAACATGCCAGTCATATATTATTTCTAACAGGACAATGATCCTAAACATACATCGTATATTATTAAAGAGTGGCTGCTATATAACGTGCCAAAATTATTACACACTCCACCACAATCGCCGGATATTAATCCCATTGAGAATTTGTGGCGAGAATTAAAATTAAAATTAAATAATTGTAGTTTTAGTAATAAAACAGATGCTAAACGCAAAATTGTAGAAATATGGAATAGTATTCCGTGTTCGACTACAGAAAAGTTAGTCAAGTCTATGCCAAAACGTTTGAGAACAGTTATAGATGCAAAAGGATTTGCAACAAAATATTAAAATAAAATCTGTTAGTTATTTTTGTTTAATTTGATCTGCTGTATGCTCAATTTTGTGACAGTAAAACAAGAACAGTTTTGTTGCTTTTGCTAAATACAAATGAATAATTAATTTTATTTAAGACTTTTTCCACTAATTGTCCGTCAAAATATATGAACAAAATAAAAATTATGTTTTTACTTTTAAATATGTCCGTTTATGTTCATTTTCCCACCAGTTTTTATTAACTACATAGGTGTACGCTTAATTTTGTTAGTAACTGTATGTGTGCTCATACATGGGAATAAAAAAAATTTCTTTTTTTTCAATAATTAAAATATGATCAGGAGGTCTTAAAACGTGTATTTCCGTAAAATAAATTTTACAAAATTTTTTTTTCATTATGGGTACTTTGCTTATGTGCGCCTACATAGGTCGGAAAGTAAAAATGCCTGGGCAGTCGAGAATCTCGGCTCGAGAATCCAAATCGTATGCCGTTGACGGGAGGTCGGATTTCAGTTGTTAAGAGCGAGAAGGCAAATGTGAGCCTTTCTCTCTCGACTCCCACGAAGCGGTC